GTCGGGTAGGGGCTGGGGTACGGGGGGTTGGCCGTAGGGTGCACCGGCATACGGGTAGGATGTAGAAATATAGGCCTGGGGGTAGGGGTTGTGCGGGTGGGGATTCAGACGAGGCCCGAGAAGGCCCGGGTTAGGGTTTGGGTGGGTGAACTGTCCGGAAGGCTGCCCGTGGGTGTTCCGTGCATTTGACCCGGAGCTTTGACCGCGACCACGACCCTGCTGCTGTCCACCGCGCTGCCGGTTGTACTGCGGCTGTCCAGGACCGCCCCCGCCGCTGGAATCCGTGCGTCCTCCACTGGCGCTGCCGTAGCGCCGTGAGCCGCCACTGCTGGGGCCTCCACTGCCGGTGTACAGTGCCGTGCTGCCATCCCCCGCGCCGCCGCTGACACCCAAATCAGCTCGTTGTTTAATTAAGAGAAGGGCCGAACGGGTTTGGAGAAAAGTCGGGGGCGGCGTTTGATTTTGAAGAAATGATGTTTGGGCCCGATGGTCGTCCGGTAGACCACGGAGAACTTGGAGAACGAGTTGTTGTTCGGAGACGGGGGCGTCCACATCATCCAACCAATCCGCTAGGTTTCGAAGGGTTTGGCAATAGACGGCCATAGAGAGAGAACCCTTTGTAGTTGTGCGAAATTGGTGCTCTAGTTGCATCGCCCGGGCCGCTTTGTTGTCGTGGAAAAGATTGTAGATTGATTTCCATAATTTCGAGGCCGAATCGGTGGTGGAGAGCACGAGATCGCAAACTTCATCAATCACCGTAGATAGGATCCAACCTTGAATAAGGGCGTCTAGTTGGAACCATTCAGCGTCGTCGGCGCTTGACGGTGACGACTTGCCGGTGAGGAAATTGCCCAGGGAGTATCGGCGGATGAGGAGGAGAAAGAGCCGGCTCCACTTCTTGTAATTTGTCTCGGAGAAGCTAAGAAGGATCGGCACATGAAGCTTCACGTTGGAAATAGTTGTGAACGCCAAGTGGGGAGTTTGGCGAAGATGGCGACGTGCCGGTGACGGAGGTTTTCTCAGATATGATGGCGGGGGAGGGGGGGGGGGCTGCCGTTCGAGAGAGAGGTGCTGTGGAGAGATAGAGAGCCGCCGGTGAGGGAGCGGCGCTGCTAGGATTGCCGGCAACCTTGGGTGCTGTTCGGCCGAGAGAGGAAGAAGAGGCGGCGCTGCTAGGGTTGGCAGCGGCGCTAGGTCGAACGAGAGAGAGAGGAACGATGGCTCTGATACCATGAAGAATTGTTATTTTCTACCATAATAACGGAGGACTAAGCCTCGTATAAATAATACAGCAGAATCCTAACTACGGAAGGAATCCTATACAAGGAAACTACTATGTACACAATGATTGCATAATTAATATTAAATATATACATACTATATTTAACAGTTAGCAATAGGTATACCTACATTGTTCTCTTTCTATGCCATCTTTTTACTTTTATCCTTAGAGTCTCTACAGCCAGCCATCAGATTGATGGAAGCCCGTCTTGAAAATCAAGATCTGGCTTTGAGTTTTGATGAAGGTAGACGCTGAATAGGAACAGCCACCCACTTCCCAGGGACAGTGAAATGGGATCTCTGGCTACTCCTCAATCTATAGGGATAATGGTCATAGTCATCATTGCTTCTTGGCCTCATTATCCATTCCTCAGCATTAGCTTTTCTGGTACAACAACAATCCAAAAGAGAATGGAACCAAAAGTGAAATTTTCAACATCCAATGTCAGGTTACCCTTCAAAATTGTCACATATATGCCATGCCACAAATTTCCGCAACTATTGGCCATATTATTTTCTGGAGGGGCTAAATGTAGTACACTGATGAAATTCGTACACTAAATGTGTATAAATGAATACGAGAGAACCAAATGTGGAATGAGTATAATCCTCATCATGCTTCATTTCTTTGAATTTAAGGGAGGGTTAGATAATTTGGATTATGGTCTGAATTTGGTCAAGTTGAAAGTCAAGAGATAAGTAGATCAAATTGGTTGTTAATGACTAATAGGATGTTCAGCTTAGCGTTTATTCTCCCCCAATCCCATTTTAAGCAACATGCTCTCAAGTCAAGCGTGTGGCAAATCATTTTATGTTTTGATGAAAGTATGAAGCTCAAGAGTCAAAAACATTACCAGAATATGCAAGCTGTTGCCCACATTTTACATACTATACTTTGACACAACCATTGCCACCCATAAACTCCCACTCGAATTGAACACTTCTGCAATGATTCCTTTTGGAATCAATTTCTGTACCAACCATTTCAAATTGAAAATTTGAATGATTATTAGCAGGCCACTTAAATTTGAATGTTTCATTTGTTGAAGTTATGGATGAGCTATTAATGAAAAAACGCACATAGTTTCTAGGCAATGATTTCTACATAAATGCAACCCTGCACCAAACTTAACACTCCATAAAGTCTTTGAGATCAATGCAGTTACATATGACCCAACCCAAAGGGCATGAAACATCCTTGCTACTCCCTCTGTCTAAAAAAGAACTTATCATTGCGGTTTATGGCGTACGACTGAAGTTATTTTTAAATTATTTTACTTCAATATTGGTTTAAGATTTTAAAAATAAATCTATATATTAAACAAATATATCAAAGATCTACAAAACAAGAGGTTCCATGACTATGTTATTTTAACAAATGATCCATGAAAAGTTGTAAATAAAGAAGATATGGTTTGATCATGTGAATAGTAAATGTAAAGATCTTTTTGGGACGAAGGAAGTATCTTCTTTAGATCTTTGAGAGTTTGAGTAGTGATGTACTTTAATGATTTTATCACTTATATAGCTTCTTTTAATGTAGATTATAGGCTGTGACAGTGTGTATTATTTCCATGATATGATTGTGGAAATGCTCAAGTGGGGCTATCAAGAGGGAACATCACTATTTGGGTTTGGTTATGATTTTCGCCAAAGCAACAGGTGAATTTTTTGTACCTTTTCGAACTAAATAAATTTAGGAGTTAATTCTGTTTTTTATCCCATTTCAAGTATTCAACAACTTTTTGGCACCCTACTTTTTAAAATGCACTAAATTCAGCCCAAGATTTCTTAAAATCTCTTTACATAGTTAAATCCTTTTCATATTTTGGTATTGTAGATATTTTGGATTGAGTTTGGTTCACTTTAAGAAGTGGATGGCTTAAAAGTGGTCAAATTGATTGTCAAGGACCAGAATAGAAATGTCATTATATCCAAAACATGATTAACCCATTAAATTATATTATTTTGTTCCTTTTGTATCACTATCTTCTCAATAGTGGGTGTTCCAGCTTCCAAGAGTGCCTCCTTTTACTAAGTGTTACTCTATTTGTTTACTCCATTTGTTCCAACATAACTTTCACTTGAGAGAGAATTTGTGTTCCAAGATAAGTTAATTATTGCACTCAAATAGCAAGAGATCATTTATAAATTCCTTTATCAATAGTTTCTTTGGAACAGAGGGATTATTTATTTTGAGTTTCAAGCTCTTTGCCCATGAGACAAACCTACTAAAAAGCCTGTTCTCTTTGTGTGATCTGATTGGATTTGATCCAATTTTATTAAGATCTGGTCTGATTCTTGTTATATTCAAGTTATATTTAATGTTGTCTGATATGGTCTAATTTAATCCGATTCCAATAAGAATAAGTAATCCACCCTCCGTCCATTTTTTATCTTCCCACTTTTCTTTTTGGTCCGTCCATTAATTATCTTCCTATTTCTATTTTAGGCATGTTTTTGGGTGCAAGATGTCTTCCTTGCCCTTATGTCCAGCCAAATGTCCCAGCTAAATGTCCACAAATTTTTTGTTGTTCCTTTTCCACCCAAATGTCCCACCCATTCTTCTTCTTCTTCTTCTTCTTCTTCTTCTTGAGCACGACCGGTATTGGATCGCATCTTTGCCCGAGTGAGACTGTTAAGCCGTCTCATTTCCGTCAGATTTAACCCCCACGATTTTGAAAGAGCTAAGTTGCAGAGAGAGCTCTCACCTCACTACTAGATCTGACCAGATCTAGATCTGCACGGAGGTGACAAAAAAGTTTGTTTTTTCAGATCTTTTTGAAATTTCCGTTTTTTCAGATTTATTTGAAAATTTTGGAGGTAGCGGCAGGCAGATGTGATGCGGCAGAGCAACGAGGCAGTGGTCGGGGGTAGTGGCGGAGTAGCGAGGCGGCGAGTGGAGCATCGGTGAAAATGGCCATAAACACGACTCTTTACTTGTTATTTGATGGAAGGGCAAAAAAGGAAAGTCAAAGCAAAATTTACTTTTCATAAATATATCCTTAAAGTCCAAGTGAGAAGATTATTAATGGATGGAGGGAGTAAGTAATAAGAATAAGTTGAATGGAACAATAGCGAAACCCACTTGTGATCTCAAACCATAGCTTTAGTTGAACTTGCCTGATCAAACTCTTTGGGAGCAAATGAGGTGGAATATTTCAGTAATTCAGTTACTATTAGTTATTACTGAACCTAACCAAACTGGTACTTATAATTATAACCTCATCTTCATTCATCTTACCTGAGCTCTAAAAGTTATTTCATTGCTCGTGTTTTTGTTTTCCATTAAATCTTGATTAGGATGTTATATAAAATTAAGTATCCAATTCACTCTATGGATTTTGACTAACATTTTTCAATTTCATATTTAACTTTGACAATTCTTTTTCATTGCTCGTATTTAACTTTCATTTTATTACGCCTACCGTCCCCAAATGAACTTTACGCTGATGGAGTTTAAAAACATTTTGAAAGGTGAAAGGTGTGTTGTTTAAATATGTTTAGAAGAGAGAAATGTTGTGAGCCACATATTCCTTTCCTGAAAAAGGAAAAGTCAGAAGTGTAAAGTTTATTTTGGGACTGACAGAAAGGAAAGTGTAAAGTTCATTTTGGGACAGAGGGAGTAAAATATTTTACCTACATCCAATTCAGCAGTTTTGTTTTTATGTTTATTTAAAGGTTTCATGAAACACTGGAGCGCCTTGCAGTGAAGCTTGAGTCAGTATATACTGCATCAGGTGGCAAAAAGATAAACATCATTAGTCATTCTATGGGCGGTCTTCTTGTGAAATGCTTCATGACCCTTCACAGTAATGTAAATTTCTTCTTCCTTAAAGATTCAGTTACCTATGTGATTAAATGGTTATCTTCCATGAAAAGATATTTTCCAGGCTAGTATGCTACACATCCCATCATTATCATGTTTTTGGTTTTTAAAATATTCTTATATACTGTGAAAAAATTTCTGCTTTGATGATCATGTTCCCTGCAGATTTTTGAGAAGTACGTCAAAAACTGGATTGCAATTGCATCTCCTTTCCAGGGTGTGTATGTTTACCATAAAATGATAAGAATAGTCATTTTAAAGTATTGTTCTATTACATATTTTTTGCTGAATCTTTATTTAGTGTTATACTTCATTTTAAAGTATTGTTCTAGTACTTATTTTTTCCAGTCCTTATGCTCTCTTTTTCATGCACATACCATCAAAGTTAATGTCCATTTCTTTCACCTAATAAAGTAAGCATTTTTATTCAATCCAGCAACCCGCAAAATCATCCTGATAAAAGTATATTTTGTAATCATCATTCATCATTTTGTTTTCTCTTTAAACTTGCTAATGTATATTCTGATATTCTTCCTGACATAAATATTTCCATCATCTCCGATGGAGCCAAAATTTCACCATTTTTTGGCTTTGGGGTGTGATGGAATAAATCAAAATGGATCTCTAAACTATCTGCGCTTCTTTAATTAATGAAGTAGCAGTTAGTCAAGCAATGCAACTTTCGATGTTGAGCCGGGGGTCTCTTTGGAAACAGCCTCTCTACTTTCAAGTAGGGGCAAGGTCTGCGTACACACACCCTCCCCAGACCCTACTCTTGTGGGATTTAACTGNGCCAAAATTTCACCATTTTTTGGCTTTGGGGTGTGATGGAATAAATCAAAATGGATCTCTAAACTATCTGCGCTTCTTTAATTAATGAAGTAGCAGTTAGTCAAGCAATGCAACTTTCGATGTTGAGCCGGGGGTCTCTTTGGAAACAGCCTCTCTACTTTCAAGTAGGGGCAAGGTCTGCGTACACACACCCTCCCCAGACCCTACTCTTGTGGGATTTAACTGGGTTGTTGTTGTTGTTGTTGTTGTCTTCCTGACATAAATGCATTTGCAAACTGCAATTAGATGGCTCTGTTTTGTATTGTATTTAGCTTAACTTTTTTGTCTCAAAATGCTCTATGAGAAATATGACTTGTATTATTCTTCTAATCATTAGCATTTTTAACTATGCTCATATAATTATATGGACACTTAATATTTCCAGCTTATACTTTGGAGTTCTGATATTCAAAATACCCGAGCTTGTTTCAATGATGTACTGAATGAGTATGATGTTGTAAAATTTGTTTAACAGGTGCACCAGGGTATATTACCTCTACGTTTTTCAATGGAATGTCTTTTTTGGAAGGGTGGGAACAAAAGTTTTTCATATCTAAGTGGAGCATGCACCAATTGGTATGACCGGTTTGTGTTTGCTTTCTACTTGTTTTGTTAGTGCATTCTTTTGTGAGAAGTTTTTTGATATTTTACCCAAGTGTCTATCACTTATCATGCTTCGGCTTTCATCCCAAAGATTGTGATAAGCAGTAGTGAAATACCCACTTCAACCTCTTTATTTTATATCAACTAATGTGATGTGTGTTGGAGTTACCTCGTATTCCCACATTGAAGCGAACTACCCATATAGTTTCACCAACCCTGTGAACCAATGTGCACCTTACACCAACAATTTTCATTTACCTTCCTAAATGCTTCTCCCGAAAATGATTTTGAAAGAATCATTTCTTTTGGAAGTTCCAGCCAAAACAAATGTGTCATTGTACTTGTCAATGCTCTATTTTTGGCTTAAGTTGCTTTTAGTATAACCTAGAATCACTCCATATCAAAACACTTCCTTCTTATAGAGCCATTTGATTCTATTTCTAAGAATTAGATTTTTTCAATTCTCATCCTAGAATTAGCCAAGTGTTACGTTTGTTTAGATTCTGAAAAAATCAGGGTTGTTTTTAATCTGAGAATTTGATTTTCAATAATCAGCTAGATAGTAGATACTTCTCAAAAGAATCAGTAGGTTCTACTCAATTAACCTTAGAGAATCTGATTGTTAAATGACCACCCAAATACACAACCAATCTCAATTTATGTTCTCGAAATCAAAGTTACCTCATTCAAAAGCAGCTCATTCTAAAATTCAGAATCAGCTTTTCCAAGAAATCAAGAATCCAAATCAAATGCACTCTAAATCTGTTCTTAACAAAAATACATCCGTGCTCTTATTCTAGACTTCTAGTGGCTATGTGGCCTTGAGTGAGTCTTGCTTCGTGCCACTCTTTTGCTGGTTATTCTCATTTGTATATCTTTTTATTACAGTTGTTCACGTCTATGACTGGTGAAGTATGTCTTGTGTCAATGGAGTCTTTTACTGCAAGCTCATATATTTTAGCAATAAACTTTTCTCTATTACCAAATTTAGAAGCTGCCCGTTGCATTTTTTTCCCAATTGGAAATGTAGTTCTTGTTGGGTTTTGTTTCGAAGATAAAAATGTTGAACACCTGACTAGCTGACGATCTGAAATCACCTTATGACATAAGCATGCCATCACCTTTACTTGATCATCTTATGTGTGTAATCGGCTATAAACATAGCTACCTTGTATCATTTTGGATATGGAATCTAGTGGATCACTGTCAAATTCTATATCTTTATCCTTTTGTGACAAGAATATCCCCAGTTATTCAAGTTTTTGGTCAGTCTGATCTGGACCCTGAGACAGCAATTGCTTGCATATGTTGCTCATAATTACAAAAATAAATTGAGGTGTGCTAGGGGTTCCACAAACTTTGTACCCCAACTTGCACACCAAGCATTGTCTGTGCACAGACAATTGTTGTCTGTGCTGTACACTGGTGTGCAAGTTGGGGTACACCTAGTTTTTTCTAAATAAATCATGTGGTGAATTAGTCTATATTTGGTTAGTGCTGGAGCACAAGAAACCTTCATCACGAACACTAAGCCTATCTTGATGAAGATTTGTACTTCAAAGAGTTCTTGTATCTACTCTTCTTAACTTCCCTAGTCTCCTCCAATTTCAAGGATCTTTTCTCAAAGTTTATCCACCACGTTTGGTAAATTTATCTTGTACATAAAGTCATAAATGTTAATTGATATTTACAACTTTGATATTTCAGTTAATTGAGTGCCCATCAATATATGAACTGATGGGTTCTCCTGATTTTAACTGGGAACACATACCACTTCTAGAAGTTTGGAGGGAGAGGTCTAATAGCGATGGGGATTCTTCTGTTATACTGGAGTCTTATCCTCCGGTTCAAGCTGTATCAATATTAAAGGAAGCTCTTGAAAATAATAAGGTAAGTTGTCATTCATTGTATGATACACATGCCTAAAATTTTGGAGAAATCCTTATTGGTGTTATAATAAAATTTGAAGGGAGAGATGCAATTGTGTCTTAAAGAGAGAGCTGTATTTGTGTCTACAGCCATCACTACCTAATGATATTCATTGCTGAATTCTTGTTTAGTTTGATGACCCAGATACATTATCTTTTATGTATTCTGTTTTAATATTCAGGAAATGTGAAAGCAATATAAGATCTATGTTATAGTTGTATTTTATGCGAATTCAAGTCCTATAGTTTATTTATATGTCATGTTAGTGGAAATGTTATTCCTGTGCTTGCTCATCATTTGCTTAAGACATTTTTCACATATTACATTGCCACCTTGTTCAAATAATATGGAATGATTGAAGGGTTGGTTCAACATTTGCAGGTGACGTATGGTGGTGCTGATGTTGCCTTACCTTTCAACATTGATATTCTGAACTGGGCCAATGAAACTCGAAATGTGTTAAACCGTGCTAAGATGCCTTCTCAAGTCAAATTTTTTAATGTCTATGGGACTGGCTACGATACCCCTCATAGTGTCAGGTAGTATCTAAATGTAGTTCTATTTTTCAAATATTATACACTTCTTTGTACAAAAATAGGGTTTAATTTGATCAAAGAAAGCAAAACCTCCATGTAATTTGTCAAAAAAAAGGCAAAAAAGATGCTAGGGAGGAGCTACTTCACTTGTAATGCTTTTAGTTAAACCAACAAAAGTTTTAAGAACACAAGTACCCCCTGTTTCTTTTTACTTGACCCGTCCACTATTCACGGGGTCAAATTTTCTCCTCTTTCTTTTGGCTATTTTTGTTACTCATTTAACAAAACAATGAATTTATTTCACCTCATGTTTTCAAGGAACTTTTGATATGCTTTTTGAATATATATAAAGTATACTTTTTAAATTTTTACACTAATTTTTTTAACAAATTAAATTGAATACAACTTCAATCAAACATCGTAAACTGAGCTGGGTCAAGTAAAAAGAAACGGAAGAGGTATGATTTATGACTATATCTTACCATGATTCTGAAGTTGTACATTTTTCAAACATAACACTCTTTTTGGGACAAAAAAGTGGAATCTAGTTCACTTATGCTCAAGTTTTACTGCTAATCTAGTTCACTTCTGCTCAATTTTTACTGCTTTGCAGTTATGGAAGTGAAGATAAACCTGTCTCAGATTTAAAGCAGCTACCTTTTGTAACGGTAAACCCCTTTTATTTTGTTTTTTGGCATCAAACCTCTTGTGATTTTTTCACATTTAGCCTAGCTTATGAAATAGTTTTTTTATCATGATCAATCTTCACCTGGAATGCGTGTAGATGTTTTAGCATATATACCTCCATCATCATTATACGAGAAGCTCTTTTTAGTAGTTAGTGGCTAAGATTCATTTATGTGTCCTTTTTATTTTCAGCCCAAGTACATATATGTTGATGGTGATGGAACAGTTCCAACAGAATCTGCAAAGGTACCTTTTTTCATTCTACCTTTGTGTATTAGATATTTTCATCTGTTCATATATCTTCCATATCAATTTTGGATTTGCATTTGGGTTTACTTCTCACTTTTTTTCTTGAATATTACTTTGTAGTGGATGTGTCCATATGGGCTCAATTCCTTTTAATTTACTTCCATATTTTCATTTAGGTTTAGGTTTACTTCCATATTTTCATCTGTTTATATCTGTTCCATATCAATATTTTTTGTCATGATGTGTCCAAATGCATTATTTCAAGTGTTTTGCAGACTAGACTAGTTCACTTTTCCTTTAGCCATAGATCTATCAGTCAACCGGTGGCTAAAAGGAGCCCCTTGAAGGTTTTGGATCCTTGCCTCCATCTGTAGTGTTGTGGGTCGGGGTGGGGAACTCACTGTAGGCAGTTGTTTGGCTTTCTGGTTTTTTAGAAACGATTCTGCTAATCATTGCGCCTAGGACATGGGTTAAGCATTCCAAATATGGAAACTTATCATTTCGCAACACAATGAAATGCATTTAATGTGTTTATTTGATTATAAATTTCCATATTTGGAATGTTTAACCAAAATGCCGTAAGTCAATGGTTAGCAAAAACCATATTAGAAATTGTTATTGCATTGGTGTACTCATCTATAATAGTTGAGTTGGGCTCTTAGCATTGGAAGAAATAGTTTCCTTTACTACATTTTCCTTTGCCGTGTTTGGTTGTAATGCTAAAGTGGAAAACTGTCAGAAAACTGTCAAACATATTGCAATTTTGTCATTTATATAAATATATACTTCCTTCTGTGACAATGGTTGTCAAGTCGTCGCCTAGGCCACGACTTGTCGCCGACTAGTCGTCCGGGTGGTTTTGCCATGGAGATTTGCTGTACGACTAGCGCCTATGGCCGACTAGGCTATTAAGCGCGCTTAGCGACGCTTAGCCGCGATTAGGCGACGCCTAATCGGTGAAAAAAAATGGCCGATTTTGACCTAAATCAATTGACCCGACCCGACCCGACCCGACCCGACCCGACCCGACCCAATCGGCAGTCTGGAGGTTCGTGACTCTAGGCTTCTCGTTCCAGGGTGACTTCCACGACTTCCAGCCAGTGACTCTCCTCCATGGATTCTCCTCCATCAGCCGCCAGCAGCGACTCTCCTCCATGGGTAAGATTTCTTTTACTTTGTTATCATTAAAGTATACTCTATTTGATTTAATTTTCATTGATTTGGTTCATTAAACTATAAAGTATATACTTTAAAATTTTCAGTTTTCTTCTATTTTTTTAATATTTCAGTTTTTTTTTCTGATTTCAGTTAATATTTTAATTTTTTTCGTATTCTAGTATTTTAGTATTTCAGTTTTTTTTTCAGTTTAATATTTTAATTTTTTTTTATTTCAGTTTTTTGATAACTCAAAACATGGAATTAACTATTTTAATATGTCCTTTGACTTCTTATTTGGTTAATTATCTTTCTTGGTGTGTTATTTTTAAAGATCGAAGGATATTTGTTTGTTATGTACTCTTTGTTAAGTGACTTTATGTGCTATCTTTAAACATAAGTTTGCTTTGGTTATGGTGTTTTGACACACACACACACACACACACATATTCATGTTGGGTTAATATAGATATATATAATGTTAAAAATTTTAATACTAATTGTGATTTGTCGCCTAGTCCACTAGTCTCCCTGTCACCGACTCGACTCGACTTGTCGACTTAAAAACCATGCTTCTGTCCCAAATATAATGCTTTATTCATACTTGGCACATAGTTTTAGGCAACATACTTTTACTTAAGTTTCCTTATATGCTCACGTGTTAGACGGTTCGTGCTAGTAAAAATTAATTTAAGGGTAAAGAATACTCCCACTGTTTCATTTTAGTGTTCATTCTTGCATGAGTACATAGTTTAAGAGTAGTAATAGTTTAAAAGTAGTGATTGCTAACCCGTGTGTTTTGATAATGACAAACCCATGTTTCATTGAGCAGAGTCAAATTCTGAAAAGATTTGCAACAACAAACAACCATCCAACAAACAACTATGGCATAACAAAGCCTTGGTAACCATCGTAGCATCAGTGACATTTGAATGTTTGGGAGGGTTAGAGTCTGAAACCATGAAAACTCAAATGTTACCTCTAATACATTCAAATTTTCATAGGTTCAGAGTCTGCTAAAACTCATGAACGTTCGAATGTTATACGTGAGGCATTCAAATGTTTGAGAATCAAAACTGATCCAACTTTCTAAAGTTGAAGAAACATTCAAATGTTGCCCTTCTAACATTAGAATGTTGTCTGTGACCGTATCTGAGAACTGCTTTAAATTGTTTCTGACATTCGAATGTTTTGTGCCGTCATTCGAATGTTTGTCGGTTTTAACCACTTCCAACAACTATTTTTTAAAGTTTTTGAAGGCCTTTTTATACTCTTTCCTCCGTAACTTTTCCTTGTCTAAGAGCACGAAATTCCTTAAGTCTTACACATATTTTCCAGAGATCAAAGCCCTTGTTATCCTCCAAATTTTCAATCTTCCAAAAATACAAAGTCCTTGTTCTTCTTCCAAGATCTTGTAACGACAGCATATATACTCGATTGGAGTACTTTTCCAATGTACAAACTTGTATTTCTTACTTTGTGTAAGGGTATTGTATAACTTGGTTTCAAGGGGTAGAAATCCTAAGTCTTGTGAGATCAAGTTCTCGAATTGTATTCGGATTGTCAAACCCCGTTAAGTTTGAGAAGATTAGTGGAATCTCGGGAACGTTTGTTCGGGGGCTGGACGTAGGCATTAGGCCGAGCCATTATACATTGTTGTCTTGCACTTCTCTTCACTTTTCCTGTGTTTTTATTTGTTGGGGTGGTCCTGCAAATTTTAGCTTTGCAAAAATCTATCATAGTTGGAAAAACACCTCTATTCACCCCCNGTGGTGTTACAGTGATGTTGGGTAGGGCCGTATAAAGAAGTGAAAAGTAAAGGAAATTTATTTTATAAAATGGATCCTTTCCAAAATTAGAAATAGGAACACTAATATGGAACTCCCCAAAAAAAAGTTAGAACTCATGAAACAGGAGTATATTTGATAGTGAAATCGTTACCATTATTGGAATGGGATTAAAAAAAAGGAGATTGGGATATGTTCTTTTGGAAGGAACATAATTCATAATTGTGGGGTTGCATTAGGTAGGATAACTGGTGAGTGACTGTCTTTTATTAATCCATGTACAGGCAGATGGGCTTAATGCAGAAGCAAGGGTGGGAGTGCCTGGGGACCACCGAGGAATCCTATGTGATCGTCATGTCTTTAGGATTGTCAAGCACTGGCTGAAGGCAGATCACGATCCTTTCTATAATCCCGTTAATGATTATGTCATTTTGCCATCTTTGTTTGATCACATGGAGAGGCACCTTGAGGAAGGTGGCTTGCAGATAACTTCCCTCAAAGATGAATGGGAAATCATACCAGAAAATGAGGTTGACGGGGAAGAAGAGCGCGTTGTGGCTGACGAGAAGATTTCTGCCGTGGGGCCCGTTTGTGTTCCCCATGTTGGAGACGATAGAACTTCATGGGTAGAGGCTGCTGCTCATACCGCTGTGGGTGTTCTTCACTCTACACTCGAGAGCTGCCACGCTGAGCTGATTAATGCCATGTCGGTCTCTACTAATGCTTGAAGTGATTGATGTGTCGGGATGATTATGGGTGTATATTGCGAAGATTGGTTATGAAATGCTAACCGTCATGTCTTATATGATCCACTTGTGCATATTTAAAGCAATGCTGTAATAACATGTGTGTATACACTTTCAAGTAGTTGTTGCAAGATGGAGCATGACTGAGTTGTGTCTGTGTATATAGTTGTGGCTCCACACTTGGATTGGCAAATGTCGAATCAATCGTCAATCATTTGACGTTGTTCAGATTTTCTTCATCTTGCGTCTTTATTTTCATGGCTACGGGTTAGGTTTGTTCTATGTTGGTTGTGCTTGAATTGTTGATGTACCCAACATTACTTGTCGACCAACTTGCGTATATTGGTTAATCCGTTTCAAAACGTAATCCCCGTGAACCAAAAGAATATGTATTTGTTAGCAATGTATACATGTTATCTTCTGATAAATAATGGGTGAAATCGAATAAGACACATTAACTATTTCTAATAGAAACAATCACACTCGTGCACATGATTACCCCTCCGATCTCATCAAAATTGGATTTTATGGGGTTTTTGGTAATTTCAAAGCGTGCTTCATGGGAAGAAAGCCACTCCTCTTACAGTATACTCCCTTCGTCTCGCTATATTCGTCCACTTTTGACTTTTGAAACTGTTCATCTAAACACTTGTTAGTCAAACACGGAACAAATCCTATTCGCGAATCGACTAAGAATCCAGTATTCCCCCAACCTTGGGCAATTCTTTTCACAGCTAAGCTCCATAAAAGAAGAACCATCACAACCAAACTCGCGTCAGGAGCTGGCTTAAGCGAATCTCTGTTCTCTGTCAACTCATTTGAAACGGCTTAGTCAGTTATTCTCGCAGTGAAGATAAGGTACGAAGTGGCTAGAGAGGTACAGAGAACAGAGATTCGTTGAACATAGTTAAACGAAATGAGTTGAACTATGTTCAACGAAATGAGTTTCACTATTCGTTGTTCGTTGTTGAACATAGTTCAACGAAATGAGTTGAACTATGTTCAACGAAATGAGTTTCACATAGTGAAACGAATCTCTATCAACTCATTTCGACTCATCAAATTCTTTCAATGTGTAAGCCTAAATATAGTCATGTGTGATCTTGTTTGATTTGTCTTAACATATAGATTATTAACATGTAACTTCTATAATTTTTTTAATATATAAATTACAAGATAAAATGGATTAAAGAAGTGTATTGGATGATGTGCAAAAATGAAAGTGAACAAATACTCTGAGACGGAGGGAATATTACTTTAATTTGATATTTCCAATCAAACTTGATAAATTTTAATCATTAACTATTTTCAAATCATATTGCATATTACTCTATAATAGAGTGAAATAAGAATTTGAAAATTCTCAAGAAGTTAAATGTAATAAAATCAATTATAATAACATGAGTATATTACAATACTTGTTTAAGTGATGTTTAAAATTCATTCAATTTGATTTGATAAAATCAAACTAGACAAGTACACTCCGTATAAATTTCTTTTGAAATTGTTTTGGACTTTTGTTTTAAAGACGTTAATGTATTCTAATATTCAACATTGCTCACTTCAGAGTTTTGAGAAAGCCTTTGGAAACACTGGGGAGTAATGGCAAACCAATTCTTTTCTCGTAAAAAAATTTGAAAGTTGCTTAATAAAATTAGAAGAAAAAAAAATCAAAGTCGAACACTAACACTATGGTTCAAGGATTTTGGAAGGAAAAGAAAAGAAAATATCTTTCTCTCAATTTCCTCACCAAAATGAAAGAAATTTGGTTTTCTCACCTCTTAATACATTTTGTGTTCTCATTTTCTTTTCCTTCCACTTTTCCTCTCCAGTCTCAACCAAACAAGAAAACCTATTTTTCATTTCATTTTTTTCTTTTCCTTTCAAAGTACTTGAACCAAATATAGTGTAAAAGTGAATCTACAATGGCAGACCAAGGCCATGTTTTCCCCAACTTACTTTTTTACTTAGTAATTATTTTTTTTAGAATCAAATTAGATCAGACCAGATCAAATCAGAAATAGTTTTAAATATAACTACGATCATATCAAAATTTATTCCCATTAGATTAGAACCAATCAGATCAGGTGAAGAGAATATGACCCAAGAGTGATACGTATTCCTTTTGTTCACTTCCAAGTTACAAAGACAAGGGAGACATAAGTTCACAGTTTTCCTCACAATGGCAAATTAATTCTTTTCTTCACTCCCAGAGATGATTTCCAGGCTGCAAGGCAGCTTTATCGGAAACACGATCACATCGAGATAAACAGAATAAAAGATAATTACAATTCCCAATCTGTGCTTTAAAATAATTTGCAATGCTAATCTACAGCCCGAAACATTCACAATTTTACCTGTTCGGAGGATAACAGATTAACAGTCACGATGTCTGTGAAACCTGGGAACTTTTTCGTCCCCCTTTGAAAAGCTCTGAAATTTTTTCAGTGTGGTCCCGCCACGCGAGTCAAGATGCGACATTAGACTCAGAATGCTTCATTCTCTTCGGTTCCGGTTCACCTAACTGCAAACAAACTGAAATTTCGTCTCCCATTGCGTAGAGATTATTGTTATTACTATTGTTATTGAGTTCGACATTTTCCCCAGGGTGGTGAACCTGCTGCGGTGGGGATGCATTAGACACGCTTGCAATGAACTGGTGCTCGACACAGCTTGGAACCCCTTCACTTTCTCTCTGGATGTGAAACACGTGGGGACTTGCTGGTGCTGGAGTTAGCCCCCCATGAGAGTCACTACTATCAATGGGAACTTGCTGGACGTTTAGATCAAGTGGTTCAAAGTTCTCATTGGCTTTCTCTTTCAAGGAAATTCGCTTGGCGGGAGATGACTTGGTACCCATTACCCCTTCGAATCCGTTTCTATGCTCTTTTAGTTCAGCTGCTTAAGAAGACAGGGAGAAAGGGCAGCGATAAGTCAGAGAGATGACATAGTTGATTGACGACAAAAAAACTAGAGTCAGGGCATGTTTGCATCACGGAAAATTTTCTTTCTATTTCCAGGCTTCAAACAGACTAGTAATAGAAATAAACATGAAATCTATAGGTATAGCTGTGTTAATTCCCAAAAGTACAGACCTTGAAGACCTTCATTGGATGTGATGAGGTCGACATCTAGGAGATCGAGAAGACGTCCCAAGTCCACTCCACTAGTCCAATTTTCAGGAGGTTGGCCGGCTTTCAGTTTCAAACGACCTCGATTAGCCGTTCCACCCCATATGATTCCAACAGGTCGAGGCTTCTCTCCGTTTTGACCAGTCAAAAGGATGAGGCTACCACTATCACCTTCAAGATCAAATGTCAGTTGGTTTTCACCAACAACAAGAAAGTCAGTAAAGAAACATACTCCTTTCACATCATTATATTCCAATGCATAGGCCATTATAGTCCCGGTGGTCAACCCAGAGCTTCTTCCGACTTTCATCACTTGCCTGCCAACGAGGCTTCCGATTGGAGCCTGCAGGTCAATAGTATTCACATCACCAATCTCACCTATGCCTTTGACGGCAGTAGTCACATTTGACAAGTCAAAATCGTCTGCAAAAGGAACGAAAGCTCCATCTGCCCGCACAAATGTTTCTGAAAGAATAAGGTTTTGGAACATATGCATAAGAGAGCATTAGAACCCATTTGTACGAGGATGGACATTGCATCCATTCCTGAAAAAATATGCGCTGAATTACATTTAAGAATTTTTTTCTCTAATCTATCTTATACAACTTCCTAAGGATTAAAACAACAATTTACTTCCTACAGAGCACTTGCACATCTCTGTCGACTATGTGTAGGAACAGTAAATCTGTAAATGAGGTATTGAGGTGCATACACAAATTAACCAATTCTGTAAAGAGTTGAAGCCAATGGGGTTGTCATTGAGTCAAAAGCACATTCTCCATAAGATTCTAAAGCAACTTTTTGGGCATCAATCAGCATGTTTAAAATCATGTTTGTTGCCCTTCTTCAGAGATGAAAGCAGAAAATAAGTGATATTTTCTCCAAATGAAAAAATGGAGAACATTTCTGCCCTTACCTCTTGGGGGCATGCAGGGGAAGTATGTTAGTTCAGAGAATGGAAAGTAAAATAAAATTGGTAAATGCAGCAAAGTTTTGAACTCTCTAATATTTGGGAAGAAAGATGAGGAAGAAACAATATTAATATTTGGCAGGAAGATGGGAAAGAAACAATATCATTCTGAACTCTCTAATATTTGGGAGGGTGTGATGCCCAAATTTTACAAAATGAGGTCACCAACTTTACCATGGGTTGCAATAGTGGCTTATCAGATTTAGGTGAACGAAAAATAACTGAGCAAGAAAATAATGCAAGTTACCAAATTGTTTTGTAAGCATATTGCTGGTATTAATGCATTATAGAGTCCAAAATTTCAGTCGAAGTGGAAAGCCTTTAGGTAAAATATGCAAGAATGATTTGCTCCACAAAACCAAGAGAGATTACTATCCTCCAAGAAAAATAAAACTAACCTACACAATTACTTTACCTGGGTTGGTTCCAGCAAACATGCCATACCAAAGATCATCAGTTATAAATGACGTCGCTCTCTCTACCGCACCCAAATACACTCCTGGTCCAAGGCTTGGAGGCAAGGGATGGAACATTTTCTGACTTGGATAATCCAAATCAACTGCTACATGCCGATTAGTGAGAAAACCAACCGGATGGTTCCCAGTCCGGCTTTTAACAATAGCACCCAAAGTTCCATAAGTCTCTTGACTTGCCACCTAAAAGACCATAATCATATTAGCCAATCTAAGAGTTGGTGGCACTAAAATTAACATGTTACGGTATACATGAAATAGAGCTCCTTATAGCACTTAGCAATTCAGGTTAGAGCATATTCACTAGTAGTGCATCTTTCTCCACTCTCTTGTATCTGTTTTATTTTTTGTCTACGATTAGCAGTTGAAATTTTCTAATCTGCATCTCTGGTTTTTGTGACCCAGGGTTGAGAATAGCCTTTTTATCTTCCATAGGTAGGGGTCAGGTTTGTGTACAACAATTCTCCTGAACCCGACTTGTTGGATTAACTGGGTAGGTTGTTGGTTGTAATTGTAATAAATATTACTTTGAGAAAAATAGAAAATATTTGCTGATGAAAAAGTGTTGCTCCAGATTTTCTAAACATTAAAAAGCTCCATTTTCATTTCCCAACTATAAAAAGAGTGATTTCAATAGCACAGTCACCGCTCCAACCTCCCACACAATCTAGTGTGAAGAAAACCATTAAAACTTGAATAAACTAGCATCACTCCCGTGCGTTGCACGGGTCATACTAATATTACTAAATTAAGATCATTTCTGAAGGATACAATTTCTTATCTAATACTCCCTCCGTCTTTGAAACATCTCCCCCTTTCATTTTTTCTTTATCCCACAAACTCCTTCCTTTTTCTATTAAAAAACTACTTTTGCTCCTTACTTTTTCATACCCTAGCTATCACATCATACTTTTTTACTAATAATCTATCTATCACATTTTACTTTTATCAATCACATCAAGGGTATTTTTGGAAATTCAACACCAAAATATCCCTCCCTTAATTTTCCAAAAAGTCAATAAGGAAACAAGAAAGCCCTGCCTCCCTCATCTTATATTTATAAAATAATAAAATTCCATGTTTTCAATTAACAAAATGTTTATTGCTTTCTGAAGAAATATTTGATGTAATGAGCATATTAAAAATATATAGTTTGAAAATTTTTAAATAAATAAATTTCTGAAGAAGTACTAAAAGATGAGGCTTTCGTACTTAGAATAAAAAGAACTCAAGAGAGTGTAAATCATTCAAAATATCGTATTTTTCTATTTCCATGCATCTAATTTTTTTTGGGTAAGTTATCAATTAGTGGTTGATTGTTCAACATATAAAGGTATATATTATTCAATATGTTTCCATGTATTAAAGGCACACCTCTTAAAACGATATCTCCATACAACGTTTGGGCCTTGATCTCTAAATGAAAACATTATTTTATTGAAAGCTTTTTTGGTTAGAATTATTACACGATAATAATAACTAAGTACGATAATATTATTACACAGTATATTATTATTATTATTCTTTCATGACAATAAATTAATAATGATTGAATACATTAATATTATTGCACGATATATTAGTATTATTATTTTTTCTACACGGTAATACATAATTTATTCTTGCTACAAAGTAATTTATGATTTAAAAACTATTTCTATATTCAACACTTAACATATGTGCCGCCATTTCTATGTATTACTTTGACATTTTTTTATATTTAATTTCTTTTCTTATTTTTTATTTTGATTTTTTTAATTGTGCCTTCCTTAAATGCATAAACTTATATATTTAAATTTCTTCATAAAATATTTGGCACCGAATCTCTAAATGGAAACATAATTAAATTGAAAGCTTATTTTCTTAACAAAATGGTTTGTATGATTAAAATGGTTTGTTTCTTAATTGGAAATTATATAAATTAAGAAACTATAAATTTAATGCATTAATTAAAAAATTTACACCTTAACGTGATTATTACCTTTTATGGACAAAAATTATTTTTAGTTGAATGGTAATCATTTTTTTATTATATCAATTCCAATTTCATAAAAAAGTTCGGTATTAGAAAAGAAGTTTATATAAATAATATTTTTTATATTTTGTTTCCTTTTTAGAAATATATTAGGCATGCAAAATTTCCTTTAATTTATCATTCTAAATAAGAATAGAGTAATTAAGAAATTATGCATGTGAAATTATTCTAAAAAAGAAACAACGTAGATCTTGTTTGCGAAATAAATCCCTTGCTTTTTTATCAGAATTAAGTAATTATGCATCTGAAATTTCCTTTAATTTATCATTCTATTATTCTTAAAAGTATTTTCTTTTAAGAATAGAGTGATTAAGTATATAATTACCTATTTAATTAGGCATAAATAATTACTTTTTGATAAAATAATCAGGCGTAAATTATTCCAAGTAATTATAATAATAGTAGTAATAATTAGGCGTAAATAATTACCTATTTAAAAAGGAGACAAAATATAAAAAATCTCCTGCACTGTCCTTTCCTATTTTTGTATGAGTAGCTTTCCTATTTTCGTAAAAGGAAACGAAATAAATATATGAATTATTGCAAAATAAGTATAATTGTTAGCTTTCCTTTTTTCCTCCAAATCAATAACAAATACGGAGTATATGAATTTTATACTGTGTATTTATTTAATATATGCACGGGATTTCCTTTTTTGTAATCACTTAATTCCTTAAATACCTTTCTTGTTTCCTTTTTGAAAATACGGTACTTATGCATTCTTACAATATTGTATAAATGTGTTTCCAAATAATTAATACTTTTTTTGTTACAAATTATTAATTATTTTCATTTTTTCGTTAAAAATTATTAATTACTCGCATTTTTTACCAAGGCATCTAACACGTTAAATCTAAATTATTAATAATTTCCGTTTTATACTTTTTATATATTAAATATACTCGGATTCTTTTTTTTAATCTAACCAATCATTTCCCTGGGAATAAATTAATTTTTTCCGTTACAATTATTAATAATTAGTAATTTATAATAAATAAATATACGAATTATTGCAAAATAAGTATAATTGGTAGCTTTCCTTTTTTTTCTCCAAATCAATAATAAATATACGAATTTTATACTGTGTATTTATTTAATATATGCACGGGATTTCCTTTTTTGTAATCACTTAATTCCTTAAATACCTTTCTTTTGTTTCCCTTTTTACGAATATGGTACTTATGCATTCCAAAAAATGAAACTATCTAATTATAATAATGTATACATGTGTTTCCTTTTAAAGCCTTTTTATGCGATATATATTTAATACGTATGAATTATCTTACAATATTTTATAAATGTGTTTCCAAATAATTAATACTTTTTTCGTTACAAATTATTAATTATTTTCATTTTTTTCGTTACAAATTACGGAGTATTAATTATTTTTTACCAAGGCATCTAACACGTTAAATATAAATTATTAATAATTTTCGTGGGAATAAATTAATTTTTTCCGTTACAATTATTATTAATTAGTAATTTAGAAATAAAATTGTGTAATTATGTTAATATCATATATAAATGTGATTCCTTTTAAAGTCTTTTTTGTTGTACTTATTTAATACTTATTTCCTTTTTTTCTCCTTTTCATCCGCAGTAAATATGGGCCGTAGATGCATAGATTGACAAATATCAATGATTCATAAGGCTTGACAAATGGGCGGGAAAAAGCATGGGGCATAATTCCCCTGCTTTTAAGAATAGGTTGATTGATGTGTCTATTGAATCACAAGTAATTAAAGGTTTACATCTAGAACTACATTTTATTTTTTCAATGGGAAATATTATCCTCAACCACATAGACCCTTAACATTTCAAAGAACATGCATGTGCGACTATTTTCCTTTTACACATTCTAATAGGGAGGCCTATGATCAGTTTTTCCTCCACCCTCCTACTTCTATAGTAGAGTAACCACAACACACATCTCTTTCCTAATTGGTGGTAAGGACATTATTCTGGGTTTCGCCACCACATTGGTGATTGGTGACTAAAGAACTAGAAAGGGTAGTTCATAAAGTGTAAACGTTTTAGCTAATTCTAGTAAGAGACATAATAAGAAAAATAACAACAATAACAGAACCCCTTTCTGCTTTACAATCTTAGATGGTTGTCCCTAGGGGGTGCGTATCATCAAGGTTCGCCTGCTACTAAAGCAAGAGTATCGGCTACCCTAATAGAATACTCGATATAGAGAATGTTACAACACAGAGAAAAAAACATTGAAAAATGAAAACAACAGAGTAGCAATTACCTGAGACCCAGATCCAATGCAAGGATCACCACCCCGGAGCCCTTCCACAAGTTCATTGTATAGTTCTTCCTTTGGGGTTGCTGCAGGTGCACCGTAATAAGAGAACTCAACAACATCAACATCACACCATACACCTCCTGGTCCCTGTTCAATCAAGTATTTAATATACTTAACACTCATGGCATTCACAGAAGACTAGAAATTGGATGAGTTCCAATTTTTCCAAAACATGTCATGATCAAGTTTTAATTTATAATAATATCCCAAGGCCAGCTCCTCAGTACAGAAACAGAATCTCCAAACAAGAAAAGACATCGATATAACGTTTCAAATCCAAATTGAAAACAAGCATTTACTTGAAGACACAGGGTATTATTTACAGCAAGAAAAAAAAGAGTTTGTTCTATCTCCAAACCTCAAGATATGCTGGGAGACATTCCACGCAGCTGAGACACTGCCTGTTGACTTTTCTGGCAACGAAAACAAGGATAGCAGGTATCTCCGTCAAAACACCACGCCTGATGCGAAATCCAATGGCGGTTCCGAGACTAAACCGGCGAAGGATTTTGCTATGGAATGCTCTAATGGTCATGAGATCAAGCAACGTCGAGGCCTGCTCTCCGCGCGGAAGCCGTCCATGGGTTTCCGGCAAAACCCTCTTCTGAAGATTCTTAAAGTAATTCGCCCTCTCAACAGCACCCAATTGGCTCGGCCATGAGAAGTAAGCTGCGCTGCTCTCGGAGATCTGATTGCTTGCAGTGGTTTGCAATGGCGGAGGGCTCGTTGAGTGCAGATTAAGAGGATCACAGCCATTTCTTTCCAAATCCAGTGCGGATTCCTCTGATTGTGCTGATCCAGATTGTTTCAACCTCAAATCCAGCCTTGCCGTGTCCATCTTTCAGGTCCTCCCTTGCATAAACTTTTCTGAAATTCAGCAGCTAGCTACCATCACATTGCAACTGCAATCCTTCCATAACAAAAACGCTAACAAAAGATTCCAGTGAGAATATACCGCGGAGAAAAGAATAAAGAAGAAAGAAGATAAATGGTAGCATGGGGAGCAGTGGGATATTTGGTTAATCAAAATGTCTATTGGACAATATTTTGAATTGAAGTAGGAATTGGAAATATCAATAAACCCTAATATAGATTTAACTAAAAAAATGGTTCTTCAAAATTTATGATCTCGAAATTAAGGGGGAAAGATTAGAGTTTCAATTTCTGTTCCATTTTCAGAATCATTCGTACTCCATATCTATTTAGGTGAAACTAAGAAAACTCCAGTGGGAGATATCCTGGAAAGATATATAGTTCGTATTTCATTTACATCTCCAAGTGTGATCAAGTTTACTGTTTACCTTCCCAAAAAGTGAGCAAGTCTAATGGGAGGAGATAAATCAAAAGAGGAAAAAACACATCTGCATGCATTAACGGGAAAAAATTAGTTGATTTACCTTTTTAAATCAAATATCAATTATTAGAAAAGAAAATATACCTTCTTAAAAAGTCATGCGGGGTAAATTTGAGGTTTGTTGCCTTTGTTTCTTCATGATTAATTTTTTTTAATTTAAAAATTTATAAAAATCCAACTAATTTATTGGAAAAAAATTAGAATGTCAGTTGTCAAATAATTAAATATACATTATGCCTAATTACACATGTAAAACTATAAATACTCTAGTAGAAAAACTTAAAGTACATAGTACAAAATTAAAAAAACAAAGCATCCTCTTCAGTGCTCGAAGATATAATGCCTCCTTATTTACCTATCCCATTGGAGAATAATTTTTAACAAAAAGAGGTGTATATCACAATTATTACTCTTGTCCTCTCATATACCTCTTTCCTTGGAGTTGCTCTAAAGGGAAAACACTAGTACATTACTATTCCAATTCCAGTTTCTTGTTCGATTTTTAGTACGGAATGATTGATATTTGTTTACTACGTACTTGCATCTTATTGTGAAAATATAATTTATGAATTACTCCCTCCGTCCCGGAGTATTCGCTCACTTTTGACTTTTAGAAATATTCATCTAAGCACTTTGACTCATCAAATTCTCTCAATGTGTAAGCCTAAATATAGTCATGTGTGATCTTGTTTGATTTGTCTTAACATATAGATTATTAATATATAATTTCTATAATTTGTTAATATACAAATTACAATATAAAATGGATTAAAAAAGTGTATTGGATGGTGTGTAAAAATGAAAGTGAACAAATACTCTGCGACGGAGGTAGTATAAATTTAAGAAATTTTAAAGTGAATAAGTAAAACATAAAAAATTGATTCTTAAAGTTTATTAAAAATACAATTTATTGATCCTACAAATTATTATCACAAAATGACCTAGTTCGATAATGAATGTCACTTTCCTCGTCTACGCTTGACTAACAACGAATTTCGCTAGCAAACGTGACTCAAGTCACTCAACACGCAATTGCATACTATACGATAGTTGATCAATGTATCTCTTGCTCCACCACAACAATAGAAAGTATAAAATTACTCTCATATGTGATTTCCTTCTTATTCTAGGAACTCTATCATTTTCGCATAAACACCGGCCAACAAAATAATACAACCAATAGATGCATTTGCACCATTAATAATACCCGTCCCACTCTCCTCCCAACCACAAAAAATTTGATTGCTCATCTCATCGTTCTACACCACTAATTAAAATAAAATCTCCCATGAATTCTTATTTCACAAAATCTATTGTTGTATTCATCTATTTACTTTTGGGTAATTGGTTGTCTTTGTTATCGCAATTTTACATCCACTGTTCTAAATAATCTTTCTCTTTGCTCCACAAAATAATTCTGTCGTTACTCTTCTAATCAACGTGGTTCTTATTGTCTTAAAATATCCGCTCATAGAGTCATGATCTGTGATCATGTTGCTTTTTGACAAACATGCCCTTTCTTTCCTTTTCTCGCTTTATTTGTGAATTTTTTAAAATATGATTGACGACGACGAGTTCTGACTTTGTTTTTCTTTTAGACCTCGCCCTTATCATGTCACATTACTGCCCACTATCCACCCACGACCAGTCCCCTTTCGCCCCCCGTATCTCCTTCAATTCCAGACCTTGTTTTTGCTACCCAACCTTGCCACCCCCATTGGGTCCCCAACCCTCCATTCCCTTTCCCATCGTATGTATTCTCAATCACGCTCTTGCATTTTTAAGTCGTGACAAATACTTATTCCATTTGCTACCATTTATATAACTCCCAACCCCCGCACCCAGTGGCGGACCTATGATAACTAGGAGTGGATACAATTATCGTACTTGATAGACACATAATTTCTAATAAATTGCTACTTCTTACTCTATAGTTTAATAAAAATGACAAGTCTACAAGAAAAAGATTGCATCAAAGTAAATAACAACTTGATAAGGTATTATTTCTAAATATTTTTTCAAACATTTAGCCGGTATAAACATGTTAAATAGTAAAAATAATGTTCAAATTGGACCCCCTAGGTCAACCCATGCACGCACCTACTTTAGTGTTCTCATAGATGGTCATTGGCATTTGGCATAATGGGATGAGAGATGAACTTATTACTTTGACTAAGAGTAATGTTCTTTTAATACTTGTTTTAGACCATGAAACGAAATTTGGCATAATGGGGAGTATTTCTAGATTCTAACAAAAAAAGAAAAGAAAAATCTTCCTCAAAAGTCAAAACGTATTACACCATGAAGAAATTAAATGAAGGATGAATGAATGGGGGGTTTTTAAAAGGATCAACAAAATAAGAGATTAAACCTTTCATAGGAATTTGCAAGGGATATGAAAACAACAACTCAATATAGTATCAATGCCACGAAACAACTTCGGTTACAACAATAACAACAACAAAGCCGTGTCTCAAATATGTTGGAAATCAAGTGATTTTGAAGCAAACATGGAAATCTTTTATTGCAGATAGATAAGAAAACACCGAAGACGTAGGAAGGAGAGTGGAATGCACATGTTTTTAGTTCGATTTAGTATTACCCAACTGTTTCTCTATCATGGGGAGAAGCATAGTCAATATTCGGTCCTCGCGGGATGATCCCAAATGGATTGATGGAGGGGTGACTCCCATAGTAATGTTTCTTGATGTGTTCCATGTTTACTGTACTGCTCATTCCCGGGATTTGGAAGACGTCTTTCGTGTAATTGAAGAGATTCGGGTATTCGCGCAACAACTTCCTATTGCACTTGAAGTGAACCGCATAGACCTGTGGTAATAAAAAATTGAGTAAATTTTATAAATGGCCCCTTATAAGTTATAACACGTGATTTTCCATATTTAGTCTCTACTTCTAAGATATTATATCCATCATTCTCGATTTTTGAAAAACTATTCCATAATTAGTCCTTTAGGCAAAATATGATCAAATATGTTTTCACAGTCCCTAAAGAACTGATTATAGAATAGTTTTCAAAAACTGAAGACGACGAATGTAATATATTAGAATTAGGTACTAAATATGAAAAACCACCTATTATAAGGAACTATTTAGGGAATTTACTCTAACATAGTTGACTTATTTGGGAGTGTATGGCTTATTTCGTGCATTTAACAAGCCATTCGTTCTGTTTGGTGACATTTAAATCTGAACACAATGTCCCATGTTTCTGAAGCCTAAGGGCTTCAGAGAGCAAAAGGGCATAATGGGTACCTCGTCAAACCGAATGAGGCTGACAAACAAGCGGATATCAGCTTCTGTCACTTGATTCCCGCACAGGTATCGTTGATGGCTGAGAATGCCCTCACACTTATCTAAAGCTTCATACAGCTTTTCCACTGCCTGTATGAAGATAAGAAAAAAATATTCAGTAAAAACCATTGGATAACATTTAAAAACTACAGCTTTGTTTGGAACGTACCCAATCAGAGAATTGGTTTAATTCTCATCATTCCAAACGCGATTATATCTAATTCCCACGGATTAAGTGATTATTCTCAGTAGATTCACTCTAAATGAGGCCCGAAACATGAAACTTTAAGCCAAGTGTATGATTGTTTATTCTATTCACACTCATCCATGTTTGGTTTCTCCACGAATTGGGTTGGCATGTATGAGAACAGGCAAAAAGAAAAAGGACTTGCCTCATCATAAGGCTCTTGCTTCCTAGCGAATCCACATTTGTACACTCCATTGTTTATCCCATCATATATCCACTCATTCACATTGTTGATTTGGGACTGCAAATGCGGAGGGTACAAATCGAGTGCTGCATTTTCGGCAATGTCATTGAACTCGGTATTAAGCATGCGGAGTATATCCGAGCTCTCATTATTCACAATGGTTTTCAGTTTTTTATCCCAAAGAACCTATCAACAAACATGAATTTGTTTTAAAAGAACATGTTAGTAAATAGAGGAACCAAACACGTTGGTCGAGTGGGGTTTAGTACCTTCGAATTCGGGTTGTCTCGAGTTCGGGTCTGAGGATGCTTGTTCATGATGCAATTTTTGGGTTCACAACGACCCAACGAGTTGGAGAGCGTTCATTTTTTAATGTATATTTATACGTTAAAAAAAAAAACCTTTTAAAAACTCACATAAAATTATTACATTATTTACTCAAGTTTTACTAGACAAAAAAACAAACCTTTTAAAAACTCTGTATATAAAATTATTGAGAAAACTAAAACGAGACAATCAAATATCATTAAAAAGAAAATATATGCATTATAATGGAGTAAGAAAAAAAACTAAGATTTGTATTGATAGAAGGTGGAGTAAAATAACACAAAATGGAATGCCTATATCAGCTCACTTATACTCTGTATTTCATATTAAAGTGCATCCATTGGCTAGGGGAAAATCTGAAAATTCTCACCTCAACGGGTTGGCCTAGTTTGCATTGATCCATTTCTAACAGCCATAACACGCCGTTTTGGGTTTGGGATACAAAATAATTGTTTAAAACTCAACATTTTTTGGGTTGAGTCACAGGTCAAAACGAGTCGGATTAATTTTGAATCTCTACTAGTAAACAATTGGCCTCCCCAGACCCTACTTTCGTGGGATCCAATTGGGTTGTTGTTTTTGTTGTACTAGTAAACAATTGAAGATATAAAAGATGAGGGTGAGTGTAAAATGCAATACACGTACAGGGACCGTGTACTTCCCAACATAATTAGAACTTGCAAGCTCATAGAGTTCTCTTATGCTCTTAGCACCATTTAAAGGATCAGGCTCAGCCCCGGGCTCTTCAGTGCTCGAAGACGGAAAAAGCCAACCCATGTGCTCATCACTGTCCTTCGTCCTCCCCCATATGGGTTTAACAGACTTAATAATGCCCCCACAAAATCAAAACAAAAGAGTTCTTACTTCTCAAGTGTCAGCTTTTGAGAGTCAAAATGGATTTAGAGCTTAATTACAACGCCACTTACAGTAAAAGAAATAGCCTTGTCAAGGCCTTTGATGTTCAAGAAGGCAAGACACCGTGATGCCCAAGGGCACGCATATGACACATAGAGATGATACCTACCAGCTTCTGCCGGGAAAGTGGAATTCGGGTCCCGCAAAATAGAATCACGGAAACTGGACGAAGTTCTCTCAAAAGCACCCGAAGCTGACAACTCATCCACCGCAGATCGTGCCATTCGAAGAGTGTGCTGCAAAAGGGCGGCAGTATCAGTATTTCTTCTTATCTTATGATCTATGAACACCTTATGTTCTAAGCACAACATTGTCTTGATATAAATTAAGACTTGAGGAATTTGCTTTTTTCTCCTCTTAGTACATCTTGCCTACTCATATCTTTTTTCCTTCCACTTTTCTTTTCCTCTCTAACCAAACAAGAAAAACTATTTTACATCTCATTTTCTTTTGTTTTCCCTTTCAAATTCCTTAAACCAAACATAGAACTACAGACTAGTGAGCATTTAAGTTTTCTTGAGTACACAAAAACTCTACACATATTAAGCACTCATTTGTGTTCATTGTTCACTAAGCACACAACTTCATTCAGGGAGCAATTCATTTCTCACTAGTAAGCTACGTTGCACGGATTCTTCAAATACGTCTCGCTTCCTGTCCCAGAAACGTCCCCTGTCGGGTACTCGGGGGCGTCCCCACACCCAAATCCCTTCTAGATTATGAAAAAAAATTGTCGCTTTCAGTGCACTAGTAAGCATATGAGTTTTCATTGAGGAATGATTGCACAATAATCATGTACCTACGGTTGTACAATAGAACAACTCTATAAAAGTTGATCATCTTACAAAACCTCTTTGCATATTTGACTGAAGCTATTTTCAATCCAACATGTTCAAAAATTGGTTTGATCATATGAATAGAAAAGTATAACCTTATTCCAAGACAAAGGGAGTTTCAATGGGAGATGAAAGAATTTCCAAGATATACATGACTTGGTATCTAATTCTTGGATTTCAATCTATAAATGAACAAAGTCAACAAAAAGCTCAAGCTCACAAGATTATGTCTTTAACATAGTAATAAACTTTTTTTCTTCCCAAAAGCTAAAAAATAAATCAAGAATTCCAAGAAAAATACACCAGAAATCAAGAAATAACAAACAATTCCCATACCAAAAAAAAGTTACCTTGAAGTGGAGTTGAAGAAGATGAGATGGGTGGATAACTTTGCTCCGAGACAGGGTGTGTATGATGAGCTTGCAATACCAGAAGAAGAAATCATCAATATAATCTGTAATCTGTGTATAAAATCGAATTAAAGTGTGCATTTAGCCTTTGACTAAAATACTCCTATTTTATTTTCCTTATCAAGAGATAATAAGACTCATAAGAGATAATGTGAGATTGGGTTGTTTACTTTTCGCCCGGAACAAATAAAATGAACTGTACAGGCTTCTTATGTATGGAGAATCCTTCTCTATTTTGATTATAAGCAAAGAAAAATTCAAGTTTTTTCAATTTATTTTATTTATATAGATTGATACATAGGTAAAAAATAAAATGTATATATATTTAAAAACCACATTACAAGTTTTACTAAACAAGAAGAGACAAAGATATTTTATTTTATTAAATAATCAATAAAAATACACAAGTAAAGAAAAGTTATCGTGATTTTATGATATTAAACATTGTAATCAATTGTGAAACGGAGGAAGCATAAAATATAATCTAGAAATATTTAAAAATATTTTTTTATTCAACCTGATTAAGAATAATTATTAAATACGGACTAATAAGAATAGTTCGAAGAGAACAAGCTTTTATCGTATTTAGAGATTAGCGAAAAAAATGAGTAATTTATAAAATTTATAATGTCAACATATAATATAAAATTTATACTTTGATCCTCTGAATGTTAATTTAGCTTCTCAACATTGTTTTATCAAATTATTATTTTTTACAATCACTCCATTCATGTGATCTATATTATATTTTCATAATATATTTAAATTACACCTAATTTTTAGGGATGAAAAAAGAGGGACACGAAGAAATAAAATGAGCCACAAGTTTTTCGTAATATATTTAAATTACACCTAATTATGTTAAATTTATATTATAACTAAATATACTTTTTTAATAAAGAAATTTTTTCTATCAAAGAATATCATAATTTGATTAAAAAAATCAAAATGTAAAAGACTTTTTTGAAATCATTTAGGCCCGCAGTTTGAGCCCTAGTCAACCAACCCCGGCCACTTCCATTCTCCGTTTTACAGACCAGATAGTTATTCTTCTCTTCGTTTCCCAGACAGAGAACGGATAGAGGAGGATTCCAGAGGGACGGAGAGCGCGCAGATTCCTGGAGACGAGGCTATTCTCCTGAAACACCACAAAGCTTAATCAAAGAACGCTCAGATTCGGAAGCAGCATCAAAGCACATCGAAAAAGATCTACTAGGGTATAAACTCTTACGATCTAAGCTAGCATTGGAATTAGATTTTAATTGTTGAATTTTACTTATTTTGGTCTGAATTGGAGTGTTGTTCTTCCTTGAATCTGATATTGTTGCTTCGAATATGGCGTTAATTGGTCATGATAGTGAGTTCGAATTAATGTAGATGATTTTGGTGTTTTGTTCCCAAGTCTGAGAATTCGTACTGGAGTTCGAATTTTCTAGTTTATTTATGAAAAACTTATGCTGCTACTTCTTGAATACCATATATTACTGCATGGTGAGTGAGTACTTTCCTTAGCGTTGAGCTTTTTGTGGAGTATGGGTTGCTGAATTTGATTGAGATAACATCTATTTTCAAAAAGGATTTTCTATAAATGTAACTGTTTATGTTCTTATAAAATGGAATTATCTTGCCAGTGTAAAACCTTTTTGTTTGGCAAACATTTAGTTTGAATATTAAGGGTTGTTTGTCTAGTTTGGACAGTCATAGTGACAATGACATTAGGTTTAAACTATATACCATAAGAAAACATAAATGTGCTGTTTATAGTTTCATTGGTGTTTTTTAAACAAATTGCTAGGTGATGCCTATTTTATTTTCCTTGGCTCTGTTGGTCATTAGGGTTGGTTTTGGTGGTCAATAAGGGTTGAGAGGGGTATCTAGTTGTTGGGCTTAGGATAGACTATTATTTGAAAAGTAGGGAATACTCTAAATTATTGGTAGTTTATCCTTCTACAGCCTGGCCAGTTTTATTTTATGAAATCCTCAAACTATGATTTCCAAATTAGCACCCATCTATAATAAGAAAGCCAACCTTATTTTCAGCAATCAATTTCAATTCACCTATCTCTCTCTGCTCTGCACTGTTCTCAAAGTTGTCTTTCTAGTCTCCATTTGTCTTGCTTTCACTATTTTACTATTTCCATCTCTTTACATTCTTAATCAAACCAATCTCCCCAAACTGTTTGAGTCTTTTTAGTTGATTTAGTGTTTAGTTGGATTGTTAGTTGCTTTGTGTCTTTTATACTTAAAGAAGAAAAAACTCCCCCTGTGATCCAACCCTCACTTGCCGTTACCATACTTATCTCAAGTAATATGGTGATTTAGATGGTTTTATTTTCATACCATCTGACAAATGGCTAACATATTTATGTAGGATATTTGATTCCTCTCCTAACCATGTATAAATATGTGTATGTATGTTCTAATTCATCATTCATAATATTATTGTTTCATACAGAATTGTTTTAGAATTAAATATCTGATCTGGTGTGTAGGAGGAAAAAATACATCTAGAGAAGAAATATAGGAAAATATGCTCCAGATTAAACTCAGAAAGCCATCCAATGAGATTGGGGGTGCTGTGAAGCCCTTACCTTCTGATAGTGTTACTGTTGCATGCCCTGATCACCTAGTCTTAGCGGATCTTCCAGTTGCAAAGAGCCTTGGTTTGACCAGTGGCACAACCAGCTTAAAAGTTGTTGGTCGCAAATCCCGTCGTCAGCTTGGAGAGCGAGTGCATTTCTGTGTTCGTTGTGATTTTCCCATCGCTATCTATGGGCGTCTGGTGCGTGAAATTAAAGCACATTTGTGTTTCTTTCTGATATATGATTGTGTTTTGATCAATATATTTGTCTACTAGTCATTGTGTGCCACTTCCCCTCTGTCTCAACTGCGGTAAGGTTGTGATTTTCTTACCATGGTTATTATATGCAGAGCCCATGTGATCATGCATTCTGTCTAGATTGTGCACGGAGTGACTCCCTCTGCTACCTGTACGCTCAATTTCCATTTTTTTTATCTGAAAGACAATTATGTTTCCTTTTGACTTGGATTTAATTTATGATAACTAGTGGCAAGTAAGATTCACTCATTTGAAACTAAAAAATGCTTTGTTTTAATGAAGAATTACTGTAGGGATGCTATTTCTTTGATTGTAATCTGGTGCTTGATCATGCTATCAACTCCTTTGAATTATTGACAGAAAATACATAGAGACTAATCCTGCTTTTGCTTCAATTTATATTTTTTACACAGCTGCGACGAACGTATTCAGAAGATTCAAACGATTAAATTGATGGAGGGGATTTTCATCTGTGCAGCTCCGCACTGTATTAAGTCATTCCTGAAGAAGAATGAATTTGAGGCTCATATTCATGCCAATCATGCTGACCTTCTTCACCTGGGTGCAGCAAAAAATCTAAATGTGTTGGATGCTGCCAATACTAGAAAAACTGCAGCCTCAGAATCCACTGTTCAAGCACCTTTTAGGTCCACCTTCTCTCCCAGTACAGGGTCCCAGGCTTATGATCGTGAAGATAAAACTCAACATATGTCAACAAAGCTCACATCACCACCCATCGGGAATATTCAGAAACATCAAACAGAGCAGAGTGCTGATAATAATCCTCCACCTGGTTTTGAGAGGTCTGGTCCTCAGAATCAATTTTCTCAGCAGACTCTTGAGTCACAGGGTGGGTTGAGACAAGAACCGGGTCAGTTTCAAGAGAAGCAAGAAGGCGCTGTTGGGGGCTCTTCTTTTCCTGAATACTCTGTTAATGTTCCTCAACGTCATAGTTTTATGCCTCCCGCTCAATTTGGTTATCCTCATTTTTTACCCGAACCATTTTATGGATCTCCATATGATATGAGAAGGCCAGACTCGGTGGCAGATGCTGGTTCTGAGCAAGGAGCATTACTGAGTTTTCCATTAGGACATGCAGGGGCTGTGAATTTTGCTGGAGTTTACCCTCGATCATGGAATATGATGCAGGCTGTTGGGCCGTTTGATGTTCCTGCAGTTCATGGATTCTTGGATGGTTTCATGAATGTGCATGATTCTACTCCTCAGCAACGACGAAGTGCATTCTTTCAAGGAAGTTCTGCAGCTTTGCCCTTAAATATGCCACATGCCTCCTCTTCAGCTAACACAGGATTAGAAACTGGACAAGGTGATTATTCCATGGATTCCAGGCATAGGAAGACTAATTTGTCTCAACCTACACTTCTCCCACCACCACCTCCTCCTCTGCCTCCCCATATGCACCAGCTTCAAAGAGGTAGATCTTATTCTGGGGATGCCGAGTCATGATGCCAGAGCTGACTTTGGTTGGCAGCAAAGGATAATGTGATACGTTGTTTTGTCTCTGTTTTCCTTGTTTATCATGATGTAATGAAAATTAGTAAACATTAGTCAATAAATTCTTTTGCAGAGTTTCATCTTGTTCATCCTTGAGAGGATGGATTTTTGGGCTACTTTTTCTTTTAGGTCTGGAGTCCGATTTCTCATAATTGAGCCTTATTGTGTGGTTAAATGATTGAGAGTGCTTGAATAGGAAAATGACTTTTCATTATAAGTATCTAAAACCACATTCATGCATGCATTATTTGTTAGAGGTGTAAATTTATGCATCTTTAGACATTTTAGTGCCAAAATTCTTATCTGAATTCTTTTGAATATTTTTGGAATCCTTGCTTTTAAAAAAGTGCAACGGGTTGGTTCTTTGTTAAGTAGAAAACCTCAAATGTACTAACCCTACCCGTATATACCCCCGACCTCTTATCTGATTCTACTCACTCTCATTTTTTAAGCAGATGCAACGGACAGAAGGCTCTAGGAGAGGGGAACGAAGCAGACAGAGGATGGAAGCCTGTCCTCTTTGTTGAGTACGAAGCGGAAGCAAAGCTCTCCTTGTGAGGCGCGACCAACACTGAGCCAAGGAGAGGACTGAACCGTGAGATCAGAAGCTGTACAAAGAAGTGTGTCTCAGATTATTCAACACAAAGATAATGAGTAGAGGCGCTAAACAAAAAGATCTACAGGGGTATTGCTCTCATTCTCTAGGTTTACGAACTAGGATTGTAGCTTACAACTCTGATTTTGTAATTTTGTTTGTTGAATATCTGAATTTGGTGTGTTTTGCTCAAGAAATGGCTTTGTGTTGCGCTTAAGCCTCCGTTGTTTTCTTTGTTGAATCTCTGACTTTGTAGTGTGTGTTTGTTGAATCTGAAATTTGGTACGTTTTAAGGTGGAGTTTGTTCCGTTTTTTATTTATTTACTTTGAGCTGATTTGTGTATATCAAACTCAACACTGTTGTAGCGTGACTCTGCTCTAAGTGATTGAACTCGAATTTGTACTCAGATTTTTGATTCCCGGTTAGGAATTTGGTTAAGACTCTTGGGAAGTGTTTCTAATTTGCTAGATTCTAGGGTGGGGTACACGAAGAAACACATAGCTCAACCTGCAAAGAACAAGGGTGCTTTGAGTGTCTGCCATGTTGGCGGTCTTCGAGTTGTGCGTGGTGGTGATTTCGAATTCAGGCTCTGTTTTGGATTTGGCTCCCTTGTGGTTGAGATTAGTTTGGCAAGGCTTTGGACCCTGATTAGTTCCCGTGGTGTAAAATTCGGGGGTAAAATTTTACATTTTACTAACAGAGCACAGTATAATAGGTGCTCCATAACAATTGCTGTGATTTTTTTTCTTACACTCAATATCATGGAATATTGTATCGTTTGAGTGTTCTTTGTTTTGGTTCTCTTCGTCTACTTCAAGGCTCTATTGTTCTTGAGGTTGGTAGAGAAGAGATCACTCTTAGTTTGTGTGAGAGGTGTGGATAGCTTAAAGTCGTAAAGGTGTGAATAGCCTATAAATCTTGGGTAATAAAAGTTGAAGGTTGCCTTAAAACCTTTAGTTGTAACAAATCGAGATTGTCGTAAAATTTCATTCAGTCGTTGCCAAAACTCGTTTAGACCTTCTCGGCTGTGCCAAACAATCTAGTGGAAGTTGAAATCCTTATGGATGAGCCTCTGGACGTAGGATTTTCCCGAACTAGTACAAAACTCTTGTTCGGTTTGTTTTTCTTGGTCTCTTTTTCCACAACATTTTTATTTTTGATCCTTAAATGCAAAAAGTTTTGGATGAGGAATATAATCAAAAATAGATTATTAGACTATAATTAGATTACCCTTGAGCTGCTAGACTTACATTTCCCATTTCTGTTCATCGGATAATTCAGCTCCCAATTTTGCTTCTTCTTCAAATTATTGGATTCCACTTCTCCTTTATTGTCACTGAGATTTTTTTTGAAACCAAACATATTTCAAACCTTCTGCCATGTGGTGGCCTTCTTCGTTGTGCATTGTATACCATACAACCAGTTGTACGGTGTTACCCGTACATCCGCAGTGAGTATTTATTTACGTGTGACTGAATACTCATTTTCGAGTACTTGAAAACTTATTTTTATAAAATTAAGTTATGCTCGAAAATGAGTATTCTGTTACTCGAAAATGAGTATTCATGCGGATGTATAGGAAACATCGTACATCCAGACGCATGATAGATGTACTCTCTTTATTGAGCCGCTAAGGCATTCATTTTTGTGTGATCCAACCGCAACAACGAGAGTCTTGAAGGATCAAAAGGCAGTGTCTTTGATAGATGATGGATATAATTCACTAGTACCACCCGGCAAGTTCACAGGCGCCCGGGGGTACCAAATTCTGACCCCACATGACCTCACCAACCCCGGTAGACTGACCGGGTGGATGTCGGGGGTCAGACATGTGAGATCGTGACTACATTCGCATAAGGCTTAAAGTGTGACCAGGCTTGACCTCACCGTCCCCATTAGGCTGCCTAGGTGGATGACCTGAAGGCTACCCAGGTGGATGACCTGAAGACTGCCCGGATGGATGACTTAAAGACTGGATGGCTTGAAGACTGACCGACCGAAAGAACAGGAACGTCGGGACGTGCTTGACGTGCTTGTTTTTATTATAAATACCCCTAAAAGCCTCATTTGTGAGGCATGCTTTAATTAACATGCACGGCTTGTATTTGTAATAACTCCTGTTATCATTAATAACAAACCGAGTTACAGGTGTTTCCACCTACAACCCTTCCAATCACTTACACTTAGCATTTGCATGGTAATTTACACTATCAAGTTGGCGCCATCCGTGGGACCTCTTTACAAAAAGAAGCCATGACGAACAACAATATGGATTCCCAGCAGGGATGTGCGCTCTCTGCGCAGCAGGGATGAAGACTCGGATATTCCCAAAGGCCGGAAAAAGCTGCAGGGCAAAGCCATCCGGCCGGAAGGTTCACGATGGTCAGTGTTCAATCGAATTGAGCATTACAAAACTGCCCGGGCGGAACACCATACTTTTTCAGAAAAGATGGTAAGACCGGTCGGGGAAGGTTGCAGACACATCTGCCCGATCAGTGTTCAACCGAATTGAGCATTACAAAACTGCCCGGGCGGAACACCATACTTTTTCAGAAAAGATGGTAAGACCGGTCGGGGAAGATCTTCTGCCCGGTCAGTGTTCAATCGAATTGAGCATTACAAAACTACCCGGGCGGAACATCATACTTTTTCAGAAAAGATGGTATGACCGGTCGGGGAAGGTTGCAAACCCGTCCGACCGGTCAATGTTCAATCGAATTGAACTCAAAAAAAATGTGACACAGGCCCGACCTGATAAGCTGGTCTCACACCAGTCTTGCACATATTAAAAAAACTGCGACCCAGTCGAACTGGTACACTGGTCTCACCCCGGTCTTGTGCAGTATAAATAAAAAAAATAAAGAAAATATGTGACCTAGTCGAACTGGTACACTGGTCTCACACCAATATTGCACATATTTTCTAACAAGCCCGAGCCCAATCGAATTGGGTACACCGGTTGCACATTGGTTTCAGCAAAAAAAAGAGCCCGGTCGGACTGGGAACATCGGGCCTACCCCGATCTTCGATATCTTTCCCTGAAGACTTTTCACCTGGGCAACGTCAGGGTGAACCAACCTACCCAGGATAAACAAAAAAACAAAACTGCCCACCCGATCAAGATTTAGACTCGGGTGAGTGACGGGGTCACGATGGATTCGCTTAACTTGGCTCGGAGGACTTTTTCAAGAAAATACTCCCCCGTTGCATGGTTGATGCCTTGAATGGAAAGAATTGATTGCCTTGCTCAATCGGAGGACTAGAGCTCTTATTCACCCGGGTGAAGGAAGAAATGACTCACATGATCAACTTTGAAGCATAGCCCGGGCATGCTCTGTCAAAACCCACCAGGGTGGCTTATTTCCTACTCGGGTAGAAAAAATGGTGAGATGTGTTAGACCGGGTAGATACAGCTCGATCGTGACCAAAGAGATTGTGAGTTCGAACGACCGGGTCAAAATCCTGCAGCCGGTTGCTTAAGATCCCATACAACCCACGGTGCTTTTGGTACTGACTGGTCCCAAACCCAAAGATCCCAATGTCATCAATCAGTTGCTGAGACACTTGGAAGAACCGGATGCCGACCTCCTGGCAGCAAACTTCTTCGGTTTTCGCAAACTTCTTCGGTTTCTGCGCAGCCCAAGTAGTGGCGTGAACAGCCTGGTCGGAGCGCTCCCTCTCCAGCTCAGCCTTTAGCTGGGCATTCTCCACCTCCAGCTTTTCTGCCCGGCCTTCATCTGGAGCTTCTCATCTGTCAGAGCATCTGACCAGCCGGGTGGCCCACTTCTGCCCGATCCGGGAAGAGGAAACGACGTGATGACTAGGCGGCGGCATACCAAATTTCCGTAAAAACTTTTCCGCTAACTATTCCCGAGGATTCAAAAAATTCAATATTATTCAGACATTTGATTCCCGCCCTTGATGGTGCCCACAAAGCCGAGAATCGGAGGACTCCTTGATGGATATAATCCACTAGTACCACCCGGAAAGTTCACAGGCGCCCGGGGGTACCAAATTCTGACCCCACATGACCTCACCAACCCCGCTAGACTTACCGGGTGGATGTCGGGGGTCAGACATGTAAGATCGTGACTACATTCACATAAGGCTTAAAGTCTGACCAGGCTTGACCTCACCGTCCCCGTTAGGCTGCCCAGGTGGATGACCTGAAGACTGCCCGGGTGGATGACCTGAAGACTGCCCAAGTGGATGACCTGAAGACTGCCCGGGTGGATGAACTGAAGACTGGATGGCTTGAAGACTGACAAGAACAGGAACGTCGAGACGTGCTTGACGTGCTCACGTGCTTGTTTTTATTATAAATACCCCTAAAAGCCTCATTTGTGAGGCATGCTTTAATTAACGTGCACGACTTGTATTTGTAATAACTCTTATTATCATTAATAACAAACCGGGTTACAGGTGTTTCCACCTACAATCCTTCCGATCACTTACACTTAGCATTTGCGTGGTAATTTACACCATCAATAGACTTAGAGCATGTTCTCTTCAAATTATTCTAATTACTTATTCGAATCAGATTTGATCAAACTAGTTCAAACCATATTATATCAGAATTTTTAAATATAACTACAATCAGATCAGATTAGACTAAATCAGAACTTGAGGTACCAATTTTTTGTGGTGGTGGTGGCATTCTAGTCCCAAGCCTTTGTCAATTTCAAAGCTGAGTACAGAACTTGAAGAAGCATCTAAATTTTACTGCCCAAAAATGTTCCTAGCTACTAAACAACAATCCCAAGATGCCCTCTTAGCTCATCGATCATAATTAGCTCATTGATCATAATTAGCTCATTGATCATAATTTAGCTAGGAATATTTTTGGGCAGATCTAAATTGTACGGAGTACTACCCAAAAATGTTCCTATCTACTGAACAAATATATTTAGTACACATTACAATTGACTTTTTTATGAATACTTGTAATATATTTAATTACAAATGATTTTTGAAGCATTTATATACATTTTTTTTAACATAAATGTAAAAAAAAACTATTTTGAAAATAATAAGATAATCAAGATAGAAGAGAGGTAAGACTGTCAGTTACAATGGGGAAAAAATATTTTGTTAGTAGGTGCACTTCATAGCATAAGGCACCTTCTATTAAAAGTATCAGAACCACTCCTCTTCCATTGCCTAATCTTGGCTAGGGGTGCATACAAATCAAATAAAATGACAAAATGTATTCGATTCGTGATTCGTATTCGAAAAAGATGATTCGTATTCGCTATATTCTAATATATTAAATATTTGTGTACATATAAATTTATATATATTCGAATATTATAATTTATAAATAAATTTATATATATTCTAACATAGTTTTACTACATTTTAATTTTTACTACATTTTACATTATTATAAAATAATAATTTAATGTCTTTAAGAAATTTGTTTTAAGAAAAAAAAACTAATATTTTCGAATTCGAATATTCGAATACGAATTCAAATATGTCAAATATCTATCAAATCGAATACGAATGTTTTTTAAAATTCGAATTATATACGAATCCGAATTCGAATACATATCACTTTAATCGAATACGAATCGAATAGTGATGTATTTGCTTCGATTCGTATACACCCCTAATCTTGGCCACAACTTTGTAACTTTTATCTCCCAGTATTTGAGTGTTACTTGTAGTATGTGGATGTTTCTTTGTGTTAGTTTATATTGGCTTGTTACTAATAAGAATTTTTTAACTTAAGAGTCGTTTACTGAGTATTTTTGTAAACTGACTTAAACGAGAGATGACTAATTTGGGATATTCATAAAAGGGTAGGGATAGGTATGTAAATGATTTGGTCAAAACCGAGAAAAAAACGAAGTTAAAAATAAGTGGGTAATATCTGCTTTTTTTGACTTATAAGCGACGTATTAGTTAACTTATAAGCACAAAGAAAAACATCATCAAATGACTTATAAGTTAAAAGCAACTTATAAGTTGTTTTGAGCAACTTATAAGCAAAGAGAAACACCAAAATACTTAGGAGGTAGACCACCCTCAACAAAACCAGTAATGGTTAGAAGCTGATTTCTTCTATCTTAAGTAGTTCCTCCGAAATTGTTGTTGCTATTGTTATTATTGTTGTTGTTGTTTGATAAAACAACATCAATAAAACAAAAAATTATACACAGAATTGATGATACATTCAGCTAAAAAATACTTCGGCTAAATAAACTTAATGGAAGAAGAGAACCAATTTCAATTCGAACTTCGAACTGCTATTCTGATTCCAAGCGTACAGTCGCAATCCCCCACTTCTTCAGCAAATGATGGAATATAAGAATGAATAACAACAACAACAACATTACCCCAGTGTCTCAATGGCTCCCGCTCATTGCGGGGTAGGGGGTCGGATGTACGCAGTTTGACCCCTATGTTTAAAACATAGAGCGGTTGTTTCCAGATGACCCATGATGAGCTTCAAAAGTTGCATTGACCAACTGCTACTTCACAATTGCAAGAACCGCAGACAGTTTAGAAAGCCAATTTGCTTTATTCCATCATATCCCAAAGCCAAGAAATTTTTGAGACTTTCATGGTCTAGGATAGTAAATCCATACCTTAGGAAAACACATCACTTTGACTCCTCAGAGTGTACATTAAGAGAGCACAGATGATCTTTCGTGATCCTTTTGTTTACATTGGAGAGAAGGGAATACTTGTTGCCATCATAACATGCGGTCATGAAGGCTGTGAGAGTAATTCTATTCACAGTTTGGCATTTATCTAGCATTTTGTGGAAAAACAATGCGGCCATGTCCGCTTTTTTTTCACTGCACAACTTTCGGATCAGTGTATCAATCGTACGAGTCCATAATTTCTTGTCTAGTCCATCTAAGAGGACCATTGCAGTGGAAGGGTCATCCTTCTTGCAAAACTCATACGCTATTGTTAACCGTGTGACTTCACATGGAGTGATTCCTTTATCCATCATTGAATGATACTGGTTTCTGGCCTCATCTAGCATTGACTCCTTGCATAGACCACTAATCAGAGCACCATAAGCAAGACTGTCAGGTGCGCAACCATATTCTCCCATCCTATGGAAGAACTTCATAGCCGAAGTGATATTTTTATCTCTGCAGTATCCAGATATCATTGATGTGAGAGTTTCCTTGGTAGGAACCAAATCTAATCTAATCGCATCGTCAAAAAGCTTTTCGCTTTCTTTCATCCTCTTTTGCTTGCATTGGGCTGTAATTAGTGTGGTGTATGTATGCATGTCAGGTCTGATACCAAGCTTGACCATCTTACACCACAGTGCAAAAGCTATCTTACTGTCATTGCGCCTGCAACAGTCTGATATGAGAATAGTATAGGTCACCAAATCTGCAGAGAGTCCAGCTCTCACTCCTTCATCCAGCAATTTATATGCTTCTCGAACCTCTCCCTTTTTAAAGAGTCCATCAATGACTGAATTGTATGTAGCCATGCCAAGTGAGAGTCCGTTGTTCTTGATGACTCCCATCAACTCATAAGCACGTGTGAAATTGCCTGCTTTGCAATACCCATCAATGAGAGAAGTATAAGTTTGAGCATTCGGGGCCAATCCTTGTTCCTGCATCCTATTCAGAAGCATCTCGGCGCGACTCAGTTTTTCCTCTTTGCAGTATCCCGTGATCATAACTGTATACGTATGCACGTTTGGCTTGTAGGTGTCACTCCTCACAAGTTTCAAGAAAAGCCTGAATGCCTTTTCAGTCCACCCCTTGGTACAGAGACCATGGATCAATGCTGTATGTGTAAACACGTTTGGCTTCCAGCCTTTCGCAACCATTTCCTCTAGCAACTCGAATGCTTGCTTAACACTGCCCCTCCTAGACAGACCATCTATCAAACAAGTAAAGTTTATCAAGTTTGGAGAAAAACCCAGTTCAGTTAACCTATTGAAGATCCAAAATGCCCTATTCACAAATCCCTTCTGACAAAGCACACTCACAATTAATGTACAGGTCGCATTGTCCACGATAAAACCCTTTTCCAGCATTGCGCTCATCCATCTATCCGCATCCACAGCTCTCCCTAACCTACAGTAAGCAACAACCATCGACTTAAAACACAAAGCATCTGGACAAAGACCTCTTTCGCACATTTCCTCAAACACCTTCTCAGCGATCTCTATACGCCCCCCTCTCCCGGCAACAATAACAATGCAGTTCAAAGTCCTCGGAGTAAAAACCAATCCTTGGTTACACATCTCAAAAACCATATCTACAGCCTCCTTCAACATCCCAATCTCGCCAAAATTCTTGACCATGCAGTGTAGGACTTCGTGGGCCCTCTCAAAATTCTCATTCCTCATCAAGCACATTGATGAAACTATGTAAAGCCGCATAAAGTTCCTAAATTTCGGGCATTCGATTGCGCGATGAAAGAAACCCAAAGCGGCCATTGAGCCCGCCTCATCGGCCAGAGAAGCCACGACGGTGATGCACTGTTCTGGAGTCAATTTCTCGATATCGACGGGCAGTCTCAATTTGGGAGAGTGGGTGTTTTCTCGATTGCTATAAGATTCGCAAACCAGAGAGCAGACTCTTTGGACGATGGAGGTGCACTCGGAGGGAGAGGAAGGAGAAGTGGGGTTTGGGTAAGGATCGTTTTGGGTGTGAAAAGATGTGAGATTGCGGTGGGTGAGGAAGATGCCATGAATGAGTGCGTTGGTTGAGACTCTGAGCTGGGGCTGGAGATGTTGAAGACGATGATACAGTGCAATAAAGAACATGAAAATGATTCCGAGTGATGTGAATGAGTGAATAAGCTCGTGAAACGGACTGGTCCTTGTTTATATGCCTGCGGCTGCGGGGCAATTGGCTCGCGACATTGTCTGATGAGGATGATGCTGCTAAGTAGTAGTTAGCTTTCACTCAACTCAAATGGGATACTTCCCAATGCATCTGAACTAGGGGTGTACGGTCGCCGGTTCTGTTACAGCCTTACAGACGGTATGGGTTCCTGTATCAGTACAGGCTGTTCCGGTAACGTACCGGCCGGTTTCGGCAATCCCTATTTTTTTTAATTTTTAAAAATGTAAATATGTAACTTTTAAAGAAAATAATGAAATAAAAGATCTAAAAATGTAGTTGTTATTTAAATATTGAAAAATGAGTAATACACGAATAATTACATTTAATATCCTGACGGTTCAAAAAAAACGACGAGGTAACGAACTGTAAAAAAACCCTCGAAAGAGCTTATATATCGCTCCCCTAAAAAAACTAATTACATTAACATAAAAAAGTTTATAATTTATTCCTCGGAATTAGTGCTTCCATCTGTAGTTGCATTCATGTAATGTTAAGAATTGAATTCGTACCCTGGCTCTTGAGCTCGACGTCTTGCCAAGAGCCAAAAGAAAAAAAATCCAAACGGTCGGTACAAGAACCGGTACCGGTACCGTCAGTGCTGGTATCGAAAAATTGGCACCGGAACTGGTACCATGTGGGATGGTATCGATACCGGTTCCTGATACCGTTAAAGCGTGTCCGTCTCCGTCTCTGGTGGTGGTACCGTCGCTGGTAACGGTACCGTATCAGTACCGTGTCTAGCCCTAATCTAAACTGGTGTGTATATATGCTTTATTACTCTGTATATTTCTTCTCTCCCTAAATGTTTATCACATTTCGAAAAACAAGATAAAATATCAAGTTTTTTAATTCAATTTATTTAAATATTAGTATAGAAATAAAAAATAAAATTTACACATTTAGAAACTACATGAAAAAATTTTCTAAATAAGAAGTGTCAAAAATATTTTAGTTTATCAAATAATCAATAAAAACGTACAAATAAACAAAAGTTTCCGTGATGTTTGAAAAAGAAAATGTGGCGAACAGTTTGGGACGGAGGGCGTATTTTAAAAATGTAATTGTGTCTGAAATAAAGAGTATTGTATATTATGATTTGGCTGTGGCAGTATTGTTTTAAATATTGACTTATAACCTACCTACAGTAACTAGTCACCATGCAGTTTTCCCAAATCATATTCCCTCCACCTAGGGTCCACCTAGGGGTGTATACGAATCGAATCAAAGCAAATATATCACTATTCGATTCGTATTCGATTAAAGTGATATGTATTCGAATTCGGATTCGTATATAATTCGAATTTTAAAAAACATTCATATTCGATTCGATAGATATTTGACGTATTTGAATTCGTATTCAAATATTCGAATTCGAAAATATTAGTAATTTTTTTCTTAAAACAGATTTCTTAAAGACATTAAATTATCATTTTATAATAATCTAAAATGTAGTAAAAATATGTTAGAATATATATAAATTTATTTATAAATTATAATATTTGAATATATATATAAATTTATATGTACACAAAAATTTAATATATTAAAATATGTTAAAATATGTACACAAATATTTAATATATTAGAATATATGTAAATTTATTTATAAATTATAATATTCGAATAATAAACGAATCGAATATATTAATATTTGTATTCGAATTCGAAAATAATTCGAATCTAAAATATGATTTGTATTCGGATTCGAATTCGAATATAGCGAATACGAATCATCCTTTTCGAATACGAATCACGAATCGAATACATTTTATTTGATTTGTATGCACCCCTACCTCCACCCCACTAATGTTGGGACTATGCAGTAACATGGAAATTAACAAAAGTAAGATTGTGGTTCCTAAACAAAAGTGAGACGAAATGAGAATGCGTGAACCACACAGATATGATAAAATATGGTATGACACATAAAACATCAACACCATACACAATCTGAATTTTAAAATGGATGGCCAGTTGTTGAGTGAATGGGTACTGTTGTTTTGATAATTTCAAACACAAAATGCTTTTTTTTTGAACAAATGAAATTGTAGACTCGACGATTTAGATTCAATCTCAACGAGAGAGCCCGCCAGAATCACGAACCAGAGGATTTGAGGTGGTCAAAGAGCTCGAGAAGATGGGTATTAGTGAGCTTGGCCCTTTTGCTGATCTCTTGCTTCTTTTTCTTGGTTTTGGGTTTTGAGGAAATGCCATGGACTTGGGCCATTGCCCTCCTCTTTGCGGTATTAGTAGCGTGCTTCATCCCATTCTTCTGGAGATCTTTTTCAATGTCAAGCATGTCGCGCGGCAGTTCAACTTCTCTGAAGACCTGTTTCAGATCATCATCTACTTTGATCCGCACGTCGGCTTTGTTGGGGTACGCAATGTCCTCTTGAGAGTCGACGAAGTTTGATAGCAGCCAAACGTGTCCTTCTGCCTTCAAAGACTGCAGAGAGACAAATATACAAGGGGATGAAAGTCCAGCATTCTGAGTACAGTATAACCTAAGAGATACAAAGAAAAAAAGGAGTTACCCGTAACATCAGAATCTGAAAATCCACAACCTATGTCATTTCTTTATACTATATAAATTCATATTTGAATTCTGATACGAGAAAAACTCCCTATACATATGCATCGACATCGCCTTAATCCCAACTGTGTTGTATGAGTAATTGACACGAATTTAGTCTTTGTTTGGTTCAAGTGGAGAAGAGATTAGATTCTGATCCATTCAGAAATCAAGTTATGAATGTCAATACTTCATGTGCCTTACAAGATAATGAGAATTAAAGTAAAACACAATTACAACACACACCTGCAGGTCCTCCATCACAGTTGGGTATGCATCCTTGAGATCAATGATAGCAATGCCCTCAACAAATTTTCGTATCAAACGATATAGCTGGTCTTTATTCTTAACATCATGCTTGGACTGTAGATAAGAAAGACTCCGGTTACAATTGGAAAATTCACATGTCGATCTTGAAATTTGGAAGCTAAAAGGGTAGAATTACCTTATAAGAGAATTGTTTGCCGTCATAATGGACCTTAGGATTGTTTCTCAAACTGTCAAATACAGCCTTGTTGGCATTCATATCAACATGGCATTGTTCATTTATTTGTGCTTCTGTATAAGCTTTCCTAGTCTGTTGACATAAAAGATAAAACCAATTAGATTATCTGTCTCGGAAGAGGAGATATGCATGTCTTAATTGAAGTGTGGACTGTGGAGCACATAAATTAATACTATAATCGCTTTGAATGTCTAATCTATTAGCATTCTCAATATGATCCATACCCAGAAATGGACAGGTTTCTGCCTTCCTTGGGCCCCCACAAAGAGCATAACATTCCGACTATAATAATGTCAAAAACATCAAACATTTTCTTAAAGAAATTTGTGAGAATGTCAAAATTTTTGGCTTGGTTAAATGATGGGTTATATCAATACTTAATCACAATTCAAAAAACAATAAAAAAATTCGGGTTCTTTAGTGCACTTCGTATCCATTCATTGACCACACCTGAGTCACCTGACAACTCCTATTCTATCAAAGAGGTATTACTACAACAACTAATGTATAGATATCCATATGTACACACACACACACCCGCCTTCCTCTACGTGCTTCATGCCAAAGGGGAATCAAAAGAGCAGAATAAAATTACTTCGTAGATCAGCAGAGTAAAAAATGACAAGTGCACCAGAAGGTTAGCAGCAGACACCATATGTCAATGTAATAAGGCAACCAGAACTGTCTAAAATAATAAAATTAGTAAAGACACTTGAAAGTTGAAACATCAGAGGAAAGGAGGAGACATACGTCCAGTAGCAAGTCTATCACACGTTTCATCTGAGCTCCAACGGGAGCTTTTCTTATGCTGTTTATATGCTGAAGTCTTTCTGTGTCATTAGAGAATGTAACTACGGTTGCAGAAGACTTTGCATTTGCAGTTGATGATGCTGACATCTTGGGATGAGTTGCCCGTGAGGATCCAGCTTTATTAGCTTCTGCTATACTGGTAAGGGTTGACTGGCACTTCTCCTGCCGCTTGTTAAACCTATTCAGACTTTCTTGCAAGGACGCCATTGGAAGCACACAATGTCCAAAATTGTGCCTAATAAGTAAGAAGTAGCATTACAGTCAGTCAAGGTTCTCATAACTAGTCGTGCCTCTAATTATTGTGAGCCATTAGTGCATGCCTTGGCATAAATGAGGAGTCCTACGCAGCTATAAACTACCTCAGTCCCATAAAAAATTTGATAGTTTAACTAATTTTATCATTATTTTAGTTACTGGTCCTATATTGGCAAATTTCTTGAAAAGTACCTTCATTTGATTAAATACAGCTTTTGGAGGCAGAAAATCTCAAGGAGCGCGACTATTTTTGTGTGACGAAGAGATGTTATAGCATTAAATTATCGTGATTGTGAAAATGTTCTGTTCACATATCATCTATAGACAATAACAACAACAACCCAATAGAGTCCCGCGTCAGTCTGGGGAGGGTATGTGTACGCAGACCTTACCCCCACTAAAAGTTGAAAGGTTGTTTCCAAAAGACTCCGAGCTCAAGCAACACAAAGAATAACTAGTACAACAAACAAACATTCAACAAAAGCACAAGAGGAAAATAAAATGTACGAAAAGCGTGTTAAGATAAAAAAAGCACATAAATAGGTGTAAAAAGAAAGACATCAAGCCTACAAAGCACACAACGCAAAGAATAAAACTACCACCCTGGGAAATACGACTAACCAACAACCCTTATTCTATCCTCAGTGAGAGCCAGAAGTCCTATGTCCTGCCTAATAACCTCCTTCCAATTCTTCCTAGGTCTACACCTCCTCCTATTTGATTTAAAAACATTTTATGTATTTTTATGTGATAAAGTGGTAAGTATTTTTGTAGTTCCCGCAGAGGATAGCTAAAAGGTAATTAAGTACTTAGTAAATCAAGCACTAATAGAACTACTAATAGTGAATTAAAATCCAGAAAATGGATTAAGAGAAGATCACAAGAACAAAAGAAATAACAAGAGATTGAAATTACTTGAGGAAGTGATTTGGGTGTTTGATGATATGCCTAAAAAGAAAGTGGAATTAAACCGAGTAGTGAGTCTAACAATGATTGTTTTCCATTTCCATGGTAAAAAGATTAAATCACCAAAGTTGGTCCCCAATTCCTTGGTGGTCCAACCGAGACAATACCCAAGCAAGGCGAGACTCCTCAACTTCCATAACCACTTCCATGGGGGAATTCGAGAGTGAAAAACTATGGCTAGAACTCTGAACCCAATTCCTTGGTGATCTAATTTGTTTGGTGCACACAAATAAGTAGACAAAATAAACCAATTCGGAAACTACTAAGAGTCATCACAAATTATCCCTAAATGAAGAATCCAAGCATAATAATCATCAAACACTTAACTAATCCAACGCCCATTTTTAGCCACTCATGACGTAAAGAAACATAACTAAAAAGCAAGAACACGTATATATATTACTTCGTAAGAGGAAATAATCTACCAATGAACACAAAAGTAGCGTGAATAAGTTAATGGTCATTTTGAATTTGGATTTGAGTCAAATTCTTTTCATTTATAATAAAGCTTAATTTAAAATCCATACAACTCCCCTTGTCATTTGAAATTCAGGATTTCAAATTTTGGAATTGAAATGAAATGATAGTGGTCAAACAATACCTAAAGAAAATAGTGAAAAGCTTGGATGAGATTACAAAAAGGGTCTCCCAGAGATCTCGCCTGTCGGATCGAAGAAGCTCGGTTGTCGTGTCGCGTCTCCCGCAGTTCCGATCGGAAATCGCCCGGCCAATCCCGTCGTCCGCTGTTGTCATCTAAGAAGAAAGACAGTCGTCGAAGTTGCTCTGTCCGATCGAAGAGCGAAAGCTAGTAGTCGTCCCTTCTTCCTCAGCCTATAGAAGAGGCCCAGCTTTTCGTTTCCGTCTCTGGTGAATCTTTTGCATGAGAATTTGGCTAGAAAGACAATGTGAGCCAATGCATTTTTTTTGTTTTTGTTTACCTCTCATCTCGCGAGGAGAGAGAGAAAAAGTGAGTGGCTCCCATTTCTCACCTCTATTTTGGAATCACGTTGAGCCATCCTTAATTTTTAAAATACACTCTCAAGTATTTTAAATCATAAATCTATCAACTTTATGGGTTAAGTGCACTATCATCGTCATCATTCCACCACCATCATCCCCATCTTCTTCATTCTTCCTCCTCCTCTTCTTTTTTTCCCCTTTTCTTCTTCTCCTCCTCCTCTTTCTTCCATTCCGATCTTCCACACCCCCCACCACTCACCCTTATTTCTTATTCTTCTTTTTATATTATTATTATTATTATTATTATTATTGCTTTTCGGTAATGATGTTTAACAATGTTTAGAGTATGTTACACTTTAAAAACTTATTGTAGTAATATTTTTGTACAATTGAATACTTTAATAGAAAATAAAAATAAAAAATAAAAAAACTCCCTCCGTCGCCATTTTGATTATAATTTTTTTGTCTCTCCTCTCGATAATTTTGTTTATTCGCACGATTTCATTAAGTATTTGATAAAATAAATATTCTTGTCACCTCTTATTTTATTTCTATATACCAATATTTAAAAAATAAAGTGAAAAAAGTTTTGAAATTTCGCTTTACATAATGTGACAAACAATTTAAGGCCAAGAAAGTATTAAACTTCTGAGTATATATTATGACATTTTTTTATAATCAAGAAGGGTTCCCTTCTGTTGACAACTCTTGTTGTCATAATACTCCGTAGTACGTATGACAATAAGGTGTACAATACTCCGTTCAAAACGTTTGGGTGGGGGAGATGGGGGATTTAAGATACATTAGAAAATATGAACCATTATTTTATTGAATGAAACATCATAGATCTTGTCTAAGGTAGTAGTACTTGTTGCCAAAAGAAAATGAGTGTATATCAAGAATGCATTTTAATAATTAACTATTCTCCTTTTTAAGGTACAAAATATTTTCTTCCCTCTTAAGAAGTACTATTTCATTTTCTCCACCAAATACTTTTGAGAGAAGTACCTTTATAGCACTAATATATGCTTAAAATACCCAATATAGTATTGCAATGGGATATTGGAACTCGTGTGGATCCAATTCCAAATTTGTCCTTGCATTCCACATTGCCAAAAAATGTGTTAAGTTGGTATACATTTCCAAAACATGGGCATAACACAATGCCGTTATACCCAATATACGGAGTAACATTTATCCACACTGCCAAAGCATGACCATTTTGCATTGCCAAAAAATGTGTTTAAGTTGGTATACAATTTCAGAACGTGGGCATAACACACTGCTAGAAAGTGTAGTTAAGTATTACGGAGTATGAACCATAACACACTGTCCAAAAATGGGCATAACACATTCCTATAAAGTGTAGACGTAATATGACCATTTCACACTGTCAAAAAAGTTGGTATATATACTTTCAATTTCATTTATTAAATGTGTTTAAACAGTGAGGAGTGACACGACGATTCTAAGTATACATACAAGGAAAGAGAATAAACTCTTAAAATTATGAATTCTCAATAAATATGACAAATAAAATAATTAAAATAATGCATTATAATAAAAGTGCATGATTTTCTTCTCGAGGAAGTGGTCCCTATATTTCATTTCCCCCAAATTTTTTTTAATTCAAATTCCAGAACTCATAATAACACCAAACCTGCCCTTAATTTCCTCTTCCAGAATGGAACCCAATGAAACCAGTCAAACCAGTGTCTTCAATGAGACTCTGAAGCAGTAGCTAGATGCAAAATCGATATCAGAATTTCGTATTTCTGACAATTTAGAGCATTTTAGCTCTGAAAACAGTGAAAAGGGGGCTAACGCTATAATCTTATGCGTGTAGGTAAAACCTAAGTGGCCATTGTTGGAATCAAAGTGATTTAAATGGCAAGATCTCAACAGCATTTTCGTGCTGATGAGGAGCTGTCATCCTTGCATAGTGGCGCCCAATCGAGGGATTGGGATGGACCGGGCAGGTGGACGGAGTACTTGGGTCATGATGTGGCCCCTAAAGGCTCTAGAAATGCTGTCCCTGAAGGAGCTGCTGTCCAGAGCTCTAGCGGGTCTGGTCAAAAAGGGGTAAACATGCAGTGGGTATACCAGCTCACCCAAGTAGCCGAGGGGCTGCTGGCCAAAATGTACAGATGGAATCAGATTTTGGATCATCCTGATGTGGCTGGTCATGTGTATTCAGACGTGTTTTGGAAGTCCGGGGTTTTCCCAAACTATCCCAAGATATGTATATTCCTCTCAAGAAAGTTCCCTGAGCATCACAGCAAGTTGCAGCTTGAACGAGTAAGAGCTTGGTTTTGTTTTGTTTTCTTTTGTTTGATTTGTTGTTTTGGCTTTTGAAGTGCTTGGTTTTGTTTTGTTTTCTTTTGTTTGATTTGTTGTTTTGGACCGGTGTGGTTACTGCTGCTGGTACTAGTATAGGTTGACAAAATAGCTTTGGACGCAATGAATGATGGTGCCGAAGCTCACTTACAAATTTTAGAACCATGGATTAAGGTAATAAATCCTCGCTCTCAACTTGATAGTATTTCAATATATGCACTTTGTATCCTTCTTTTTGACATTTAGTGATCTACTTTAAATTTAGTGCGCGCCTAAACGGTATTTTCTTCTATATAATTATATAAATGGGTGGCATGAGTCAATTTATATTCAAAGTGGTGAACCATGGAAATGAGTAAATTCAAGAATTTTGATTGTGCAAATAGGGCATGATTGCAAATGGATGATTCATACTTTTCTTTCTTGCTTACTTATTTACCTAGTAACCCGTATTCCACCTTATTTTTCTACTCTCCTTTCTAGATTTTTCACTAGCATTTTTCTCCCATATCAATATTTTAGCACGCTGTTTACATTACCTTTCACTGCTTGCCAGGGTTATGGAATTTCTATACTTCCAAACACGATATGCTAGATATGTTTGGTTTAGTTTGTGTAGCATATAAGTTAATTAAAGCAAAACAATTGATGTTAAGTCTATGTACGGAGTAATAGAGAACTGATTATTGCTAGAGCATAATTTTCACCTAGCATTAAGTTATGGGTTTTGGGTCACATAATTGTCTTACACATAGTATCATACACTTTGTTGCTATATATTCTAGACAAGAGCTTTCACATTACAACAACAAGGTGAGGTTCTACACATGAGTTAAGGGAGAGTACGTGTATATAGACCTTACCCCTACCTACAAAGGTTCAGAGGTCCTGTCTGCCGGCTCAAGCAAACCAAAAACAGTTAGAAACTTAGAACATAATAAATTCCCCATTTAGGTGGCATTATCCCTAATATCATTAATTAATATCTCAATCCATTGTAAGGGAGATTTTGTTGATGTGGTAAGATTTGGGGAACAATATTTACCATCCAGATATTAACAGCATGGAAGGGGGCACACATACTATAAAGTGATGTTAAGCTCTACCGAAACCCACAGAATAGTAGTTAGAGGGATGTATGAATGGTGAAATGGGATATTAGAATAGGGGATATTAAATTTGTTATTTGTAATGTGACATTTGGGACCGTTTAATGTCCTTAAACCAATGTGGAATTGTGGATGTGTAAGTGCATTTATGGAGTTAAGTCACTGGTTACTATATGATTAGGTCCCTGGATAGCCTCTATCCCGCAACTCTAAGACATTACCAAGAAAACATCCATGGGCCTAATATTTGAACACACAAAAAGTTCCTGAGATGTTTTTGTCTCTAAGATCAGCAAGGGTGGAATGAAAGAACACTGGTAATACAATAATAAGATATCAATTGCCCTCCAAACAAAATGCGAAAAACAAGAGCTAATCATTTTTAGCTATGAGCATCACTTAGGGCCTGTTCTTTAGGACTGGAAAAAAAGAGCTGGGTGTTGGAAGAAACTGGAAGGAACGGGAAAAACTGAAAAAATTAAAAGAAACTGAAAAAACTAGAAAAAATTGAAAAATATAAAAAAGTTTTAAAAATTTTTTTATGTGTGGTTTTAAATTATTCTCATTATGATTCTTGTTTTTATAAATTATTATTATTATTGTTGTTGTTGTTGTTGTTGGTGGTGGTGGTAGTGGTGATGTTATCACGTTATCTTAATGATTGTCTTTAAGATAAAAAATATTACGAGTATTATTTTTCATATATAAAAAGCTAGTTTAAAACAAATAATTAGAATATAAAATTAGCATAAATATTACACTTCTTGGGTCATTTTTTCTTTTTCAAAATGTAGTTTTCTCTTGGTTTTCATAATGTAGTACTCCCCACCACATTCCATACTTTATATTTTAGATTAAAATATTGATGTTTACCTTATATAAATTTAGATTAAAAAAATATTCTATATAACTATTTATCCATAATTTTTTACATAGTTTCCTAATTTTCATGTAGATTAATATACAAAAAACGGTATTATTCATATTAAAAAGTTGAAGAAAAAATAATAATGAATGTGAATCATAAAAATAGTGAGATGAAAAAATGAAATAATTTATAAACTATAGTTATGAACATAAAAGTTGTAATTAAAAAAAAGTTGTAATAATAATAATAATAATAATAGTAATAATAATATATTTTTTTAGAGTGATTTGTCAGAAAGTCGAAAGAATTTGAAGAAAATAAATATAGTTGGAAGAAATTAGAAGAAACTGGAAAAACTGGAAGAAACTGGAAGAAACTTGAAGAACTGGAAGAAATTGGAAGGAACTGGAAGAAACTGGAAGTTAAGAGTTCAAGCTCTAAAGAACAGGCCCTTAGTATGGATAGTTTACTAAATACTAAACATTTGATTGCTTTTACATATCTCATGGATAATAGATTAGAACTTTAAGCTGTTTGATTTAATCTTGGCCTAGATTGCTCCTACTTTGACATGGTAGGAGATTGTGCCAAGCAACATAGTGTCTGCTGCCAATCTGCCATTACATTGGAAGGAAAGGAGTTCACATTTTTTTAGGGTATTTGTTTCCTTACACATAGATTAAGATACATAGTTGAGAACCCAGGTTTTTTGGCATACAGAAGGGTTTCTCAATGGAATTTATGATTGGTTGAACTTTATAAGCTCATGTCGTGACTGCTCTATTATATAATTTCTGTTATCTTTCTGCACACATTGCAAGCAGTTTCTCTTTTTTTTCTAATAAATAAAGCTTGCCAAGTCAGAGCCAGGTCTATGTCCTCCCCTACTCACACTGTTTTGTTTTATTATTAATAATAGACTCCTTTTCTTAAAAAACAGAAAATGTGGAATTGGCAATAACCTGCCTAATCATCTCAAGCATGGGATTTACTGGGTGCTGTGGGGGTAACTGGGGAGTAGTACAAGCTAGACTGCTGACAAAACTGAACTTTTGCTTTGGGCAAAAAATATTGCCTACAAATGTTTTATCAGCTAGAGGACTGATGTGGGTTTCTATGTTCATTAACCATTATATATCAACAGGCGTCTAAGATGAAAAGAGAACATGGCCCCATTAAAGGGTTCTTGTGAGGAAATAATTGTAAATTTTTGTACTCTCAGTGCTGCCTTTGAGATGTCGTGAAAAGAAAGAAACATCTTATGGTATTATTGTGCATGTATGCAATTGTTTATGATGAATGATTAATCAACTTGATAAATGTTTTTATATCAAGTTTTATGCAAAGAATAATTTATTTGTCTCTTAATCAATTTGCTTTTCTTGCTTAGCTACTTCTTGACCTGATGGCGTTTCGGGAACATGCTTTGAGGCTTATATTAGACCTGAGTAGTACAGTAATTACGTTGTTGGTGAGTGTTGCTTGCTGTTCTTTTATACTAGTATTCATTTGGAGTCTTATGTTCTGTACTTCTGTGGCTGACTTTCCTTCTTGAATTTGACATGACAATGGAAGGCCATCCTATGCAAAATATTGTGACTATACTTTTTGCATGATTTCGATGTTAATTAATCTACAACAGTTGGCACTACAAATTCAATGCCACTGACCTGACAAGTTTGGATTATGGGTTGATAATGATGATGATCCTTAAGGAATTTAAAAACCAAAAAAATCTAGCAGTGATTGTGACTGCATTACTGTTGGACTAACTCGCTAAATATTACTACTAATTTACTATGCACGGAGTAATATTTAGAAGAGTTATTGTTATGTGATTTTCAAACTTCCCCTCAGATTTGCACAGTTGACTGAAGCATGTATTCACTCCTTGCAGCCTAACCAGAACTCTCTTATACTGCATGCATTTATGGACCTCGTTTGCGCTTTTGTTCGTGTCAATCTGTTCTCTGAGAAGGCAAGTTTGACTTCTGCGTCTATCATTTTTTTTCCTGTAAATTTTCATCACATTGTGCATGGGTATAAACAATCTGATGGGACTTCGGATCCTTAACAAAAAGTTCAGATCTAGACATCCAGTTGAAGGTTTGCATCATGTAAGGCTTGAGAAAGAAAAGTATAGACAACCTTACCTATTTTTTTGAGAGGTTGTTTACAGTCTTCCATACTTGATCCCATGATATACACAACAACAACAAACAACAACAACCCAGTGTGATCCCACAAGTGTAGGGTCTTGGGAACATGATCCCATGATATCATGGCATGATTTTCAAAAAGCGAGCAAAAGTGTAGACAACCTTACCTATTTTTTTGGAGAGGCTGTTTACAGTCTTCCATACTTGAATCCATGAGATAATGGCATGATTTTCAAAATGTGAGCACTCAGCTACAATCTGACTGTTCTTTGATGACAATTTTTTCTCAACCTGCAGATTCCACGGAAAATGTTGCTGCAAACCTATAATCTTTTGCATGCCACATCAAGAAATAATAGAGACTGTGATTTGTATCACCGGTGAGTCTACACTTACCTTATATCATTCTTCTAAAAACTTTTTCCAGTTGATGAAGCTCTTACTATTTATGTTTTGTTAAAAAATGATAAACAATATCCTGTAGGTTGCAATGCCTAAACTATCTCAAACATGCTATTTATGTTTTCTTGAAAAATGAAAAACAATATCGTGTAGCTTGCAATGCCTAAACCCTCCCAAACCTAAACCTCCAAATTTATAATTAAGCATTTACACAATTTGCAAAACATGTCAACTATACTTGTGTATACCAAGATGTTTGTACCTAGAAAGTGTTCGTTAATCACTTAATCCAAGTGGTATGTTTCTAAGGGGTGTATTTGTTAGGGGATATGAAGAGATCCCTGAGATAGACGAAGAAACTCTCTTATGCTCGTGGGTAGAAGAGGAAGAGCTTCAGATCCCATTGTCTGGGACTAATAAGAACAATGATGATAATTTTATTAATAATGGTGTGAGCATAAATAGTCAAAGCCTTACTAGAGACCTATCATTATTATACTAGGGAAAGATGAATACCTATATATTCTATTAACTAAAATAGAATAGGATTACTAGTATGGAACTACTCGGGTATTAATATTCCTATTAATGATAGGAAGCTAATAACAATTGTAATAGGAAACTAATAATAATAATAATAGTAATAATAAATTATAGGAAACTTATTGGAGTAATAATATTAAATTCTTGATCCGTAACAATATTGTGTGTTTTAAAATTAATTTTAACTTAGTTGTGCATTCATACATTGTATGTATAAGGCACGACTCTTGACTATAAATAATTTCGATGATGTTTTTTGTGCTCCAAACACAACAACAACCTAGTTGGAATCCCTCAAGAGTAGGGTCTGTGTACACATCAGTTAAAATTAATTTTAAAAATTAATTTGCACAACTGGATTTTGTTCCTTCTATTCATAAGCATTTAATTTCTTTAACCTATGGCCTATTGTTTCGTACAGAACGTTCTCATTGGAAGACAAATATTGGCATAAAACACAACACATAAACTTTTTATTCTGAATTTCTTTTTTTCAGTGTACTGACTGCTGTGCCTCCTTGTCCTCATGTTTTTTTGACACATCTAAATATTCTGTGCTTCATATATTACTGCGGGATATTCAATATTGACTGTGAATGGCTTTTCTAATTTCAGCAATTGAAGCTTGCAACAACGCTTCATTATTAAAGTTGTTTATAATTGACAACCCCCCTCCCCCGCTCGCTCTTGTCACAGGTTAATTCAGTTTATTGATTCCTATGATCCACCCTTGAAGGGTCTGCACGAAGATCTCAATTTTGTCAGTCCTCGCATTGGAGAGGTTAAGTTACTAAGTTCTTATTTCATAATAATATGATCTCATGATTTTTTCTTTTCCATAATGTATGTGGTGTAATTTTCTTTCCTTGTTAGATATTGCATACTAAATGCAAATTCAATGTGATGAGATTTTATTTTCATAATGAATTCCGGCTAGAATGTCTTATGGTGCAGTTTGGTCAATCAATTGTATCATTGTTGCTTTTTTTTCATATTGACTTTCGTTTTATACCCACAGTAGTGATAGGTTTGTATTAAGTGTTCATGCCTTAATCTAATTCTGCTTATTTGTGTTATGTTTTTGGAAAAAGGTCTTGTGAACAGGCGATGTTAATGGCTTGAAGGGGTTGCAATTTTCCCTACTGTATTTGGTAGCCTTGTATTCAAAGAAAAGAAAGTTGCAGAAAAAGAATCACATAAAGGAAAAGGAAACTAATATGCCAAAAAATAATCATGTGCCTTTTTGTGTGTGTTAATTCCTGTAAATTCTTCGAGCATAACACCATGCTTGGTATACACAATTTGTTGCATTAATTAATAAAAATATCAGTGAATCCTCTTGATTGAACGGTGTAATAACAACCATAAAATCATAAATATGTGCTTATTTAAAGTTATTGTCTTTCTTTATGTTGTAAGCAAGTAGAAATAGGGTCATATTTGGCCACATTTTCAACCTTTTTTATTTCACTCTTCCACCATAGTCATCAATATGAATTTTTGAGTTCTTACTGAGATCTCCTATCTGTTATATCAGGTACTAGAGGCAGTTGGTCCCATTATATTCTTATCTGCCGATACAAGGAAACTGCGGAATGAGGGTTTTTTAAGCCCATTCCACCCTCGATATCCTGACATACTTACAAATTCTGCACATCCAATGGTAACTATTCATTATACTTGCCAATTATCATATCTAAAAAAAGTACCATCCTCTTACTATTTTTTTCCTTGTATCTTCCTGTTCTCTATCCGTCTTAGTCGATGCATGCTACATGTCTAAACTTTCTTGGACTTTTCTGCAGAGAGCTCAAGATCTTGGAAATGTAACTTCTTATCGTGAATGGGTATTGTTTGGTTATCTTGTTTGTCCCGATGAGCTCCTAAGGGTCACAAGCATTGACATTGCTTCAGTAAATTCCGAATATCCTACTCTTTACTTGACATAGCAATTGAAGCTTTGACTTTAAAAAGATCTTGTCTTAGATCTGTGATGTGTTCTTACTGATTGTTTGAGGAGAAATATGACCACTGTCTCTATGGTAGTGACATCTTTTATGCAAAAAGATGCGTAACAATACTCCCTCCGTCCAAAAATGATGTTTACATTTTCCTTTTTTGGGATGTATTAAAATGAAGTTATACTTTTCCACTTTCTCATTTAGGAAATCTATGTGGCTCTTGTAATTTCTCTCCTAAATAATTTTGAACTACACACTTTTCACCAAACACCTTTCACTTTAAATTTTTTGACATAGCATATAATATATTGCAATTTGTAACTTTGAGTCTCCCATCCACTCAACTTTGGGCCATACTTAATATGAATATATAATTAGAGACATATAATTAGTTAAAAATCACATTAAATAATTAAACAGAAATTATAAAAAAACCAATATCTAGTCAGGAAAAACCTCAAAAACACAAAAAAAGGAGAAATTCAAATTTATGTAGCAATTCAAAAACTCAGGAAAAGCAACTATTAGAAATGGAAGAACTAAACCAGAAAATCATAAAGAGTTCAAATTTCAAAATAATTTACATTGCAGAAAAATAAAGCACAATGAAACTAGATTTATTGCAAAGCGTAAACTTGAAAAATAAATGGAAAGAGGAAAAATAAATCTATTACTTCAACAAAAGAAACACACAACACAAAAAAGTAAGAAGAGTAAGTGTCTAAGTCTCTTTAGACAACGGCATGATGGTAGTCATGATGTCTGGTGCGGCTAGGGTAAAAAATGACTTTGTCTAGTCGGCACCTTCACGATCGTCCATCACCTTTCTTGTTCCAGGCAAGTCGAGTGAAATGCACATGACGAGCTCTTCCCATCACCGAGATGCCTAGACAAAGCCTTGATAATTATGGATAGGAGCATTTGAACATAGGAGATTAATGTTGAATGGTAGGCCTAGATATGCGTGGTTGTCTAAGTGTTCAAGACCTTCAAGATGGATTAGTTTGTTATAGTAGAGTGTTTAATAGGTGACCCCTTTTTTCCGCCAATAGATAATTTTTTCTCTTCTATGATATTGGTTGACCTTGTTAAACCGTACTAACTTGCGTCTTTTGTGCTTGAACCGTGGAATTTTCAGAAACGGTCTTTCTACCTTTTTGAGATAGAGGTAAGGTTGTACCCAGAGACCCCACTTGAGGGATTTTAGTAGGTAGGTTAATGTTGTTGGTAGGGGATGTTTGTGGGCCGTGGGGAGGTCGGTATTTTCTTCCTTGATTTGAAGGAAATAAGATTCCTCTGAAATACTACTTCCTTTCCAACAAGGGGAAATGGAATCATAATTGGGACAAATAAATAAAAAATGTTACTTTTTTCGTGCATCTTATCTTCCAAAAAGGCCACTCTCATCTTGTTTTGCACATTTGGAACCCTATCCCTCCTCATACGTCCACACATACACATTTCTAGTCTCATCTCTTTTCAGATGCCTTCATTTCTCCATTAGATCCTTATAGAACTGTTCAAAAGCTGCATTTTTGTAGCTGAAACTTCTATCTTAGCCTCCTTTTCTTAGTCTTATGCTTGTATTGGTTCGTCCATTTCTCTTCCCCATCTGTACTCTCCATAGGAGTCTTGTAGGCCTTTCTACCATGAGTCCCATCTAGTGTTGTACGTGTTACTCGTGACGACCCCTTACACCTCCATAGCAACCTCCGTGATGCATATGTTAGTTCTAGGCCCCATGGTATTTGTATCCTCATAGGTTGCCCAAGCACCCCTTGCCTCTTTCCTGTAACTTCTCAACCATCTCTTGACTCTCATCCTTATCCAACCCCCTACCCCTACACACACACCACCCCTGCGGAGTACATTGTAAGCCACCCAAAACTCGTCGTCTCGTCTGTTTCTCTCACATTTGACCACGACATCCATCACCAAGAGCTAATGCTGGGTACTAAGGTTCTCACTTGGGATTATCTTACCGTCCTTGCAAAATTTTCAGCATGTAATGGATTTTTGTTTTCACCACTTGACTAAGGAAGGTCACCGAGTGTTACCCCGCTTCTTAATTCTCAAGTTAGTTGACTCTAGCAAACTCTAACGGTGAGACCTCCTACATTCATGTCACCAAAACGAAATCCTCCCCCATCTACAATTGACCCAATGTGACCATTTAAATCACCTCTTATGACTAGCTTACCTGTAGTTGGGAATGAAATGTCTCCAACTTCCCCATCACTCTTCCCAGAACTTCGTCTTGGCTTCTTTGTCAAGACCTTTTTGGGGGGGCATAACTGCATTAGTGCTAACAAAGTTTAAAGTGCACCCGCCAACGACAAGTTTAATGGCCACCAATCTAATGCTTACTCACTGTCGCTCTTACTTGATCACAAGCTCAGAATGACAACCCCATTCTTGTTCCTCAAAGCACCTGACTACCACAACTTGTACCCTTGCGAATCTCGGGCTTTGGTACCTCCCCATCTGGTCTTGGACGCATACTTTAATTATTCCTTTTCTTAAGGATTCTCACCAACTCTATTGACTTTCAAGGACCCTTTGTCCCCTCACCCAACTCTCAACCTAGGCAATTCCTTGGATCCCTTCCCTAACTCCTTCCCCAACCAAGGATACAATCTTATGTCACCATTAGTCTTCAAAGCCACACAAATTAAGCAGTATCATCACACCTGCAACTACGGAGAACCCACAAAACAGATGGGACATAAAGAGCAAATGCACACAAAATGATAACGGCCAAACAGCAAGTAAATCAAACACTACCAGGGAGTCTAAAGTATGCAAGAACCAGGAAATAATTGCAGCAGAAGACTGGCAGTAGGAACAAAACAAAGAAACAAAGAAAGCAAATAATAGGGGAATAGTTGAAATTACGCTCAAAGATAAACAAAGCTTGAAAAGGAAATAAGGAGAAGGAACCTGAGACCTGAGTGTTGAACTCATACAGGAGGATCCGCGCTGTAGAACTATCTGCAACTCTCCCTTACAACATTGGAAATTTCATCCGAAGAACAGATATGGTGTGGACAGATCTCTCCCTTGGTTGTGTAGAGTTTGAGTCTGGCAAGTTTTTTGTGACAACCTATTATCTCTGATTTGTGCATTGTTGTTCTCGCGATTTTGGGAGTGTCTGAATTTATCTGGTGATGGTGTCTCTGCTGGGCAGGCCCCACACACCTACCCTCTAGGTATTTTTTTTAAATCTCATTTGGGAAGATATAGAGGTAGTAGATGGGCAAACATACCCTGCAATTGCATTTAACATCATTACTTCCTCTATATTCTCAGGCTTACCAAATTTTAGCATAAATATTAAATGTCCTCACCAACTCTTTTGTGCTTACGGACACTAGATTTTAAGTGCATCCCTCTTCTTACCCATGGAATTTAATCCCCCCACCCCCACCCCCCTCCCCCGACCGCAAATTCCGCGCTCCACATTGAAAATGAGCCATTTAATATAAGCACAACGTGTTTACATTTTTTCAATTCTTCATTGCCTTATTTAATGTTGATAAGTAATGATTTGTTTCAAATTTGTTCAAGTTTCCAGATGTAAGTAATGATTTCATTGTCTCGAATTTCTTTTGGACCCTAACAGGTTGTTCTAAAGGAGAACTTAGTTCTTTCCTTGTTTAGAGATGAGGTGAGTTCTAGTATGTCTGCTATGGGGGAGGAGTTGGCAGTACTCTTCATTGCTTATATCCTAACTTAAAGTGAAATTTTCAGTATATACTGTTGCACGAGGACTATCAGTTATATGTTTTGCCTCGGATATTGGAGTCAAAGAAGATGGCAAAGTCTGGACGTACAAAACAAAAAGAAGCTGATCTGGAGTATAGTGTTGCTAAGCAGGTTGAGAAAATGATAAGGTACTGTCAATGGCTTGGCCTTATAGTAAAACTTGAAAGGCCCTCTTCTACTTCTCAGCCGGCTAGTAAAATGCATCAAGTTTTTCCTTTATCTGATACCATATGAACAGGCAGTACTTCAAGAATTTTGTACCCCTTCCGTCCCACAATTTTTAGAACATGGGGTTGTGGCATGCAAATGAGGAAAAGTAGAATCACATGGTTGATATTCAAGTTAAATTGTGCCATAAATATATTACCAAATATGCTATGGAACAAAAACATAGTGACGTAGGAACTACTACTCTTGAAAAGTTTGGGAATACAAATTGAATATGAGTGTTTCATAGAAAAAAATAGACCAAGTGCGTGTTTTGTAGGTACCAATTCTAAATTGTCACTGTTCTAATTTCTAATCTCTAAACCTGTGTTGCTGGTCATCTTTTTTGTGAATCCAAATACCCAACTTGAATTTCATATATCTGCCATTAAGGTGTGAACTGTGAAAACTTGTTTAGTGCTGCTTCCTCTCTGTAGCAGTGTCATTGATGAGAAAAGAGAGTTTTGAGGCAGCGAGTACGTGCACTGACCAATTGACCATTTGCAGCCCTTACCAACTCAAGAGAACTGTAGGGGGATGAAATAAAACATCAATCACTGCATGTAGTTTAGAAATGATGGGCTCAACTGTATTTATTGGAGTTTCTCTGCAAATTTTGCTTTTATTAATCATATGTTTCTCTCTGGTCATTTGCTCATTTTTATTCGCTAGACTGTTACATATTTTACATGCTGTCACAATACTTTCTTCCTGAATATTCCGTTTTTCAGTATCTTTGGTACTAATGCAGCCGGCATGCATTTTTTTATTATTTAATAATGCAGTGAAGTGCATGAGCAAGCACTACAGTCTTGTGATATCATACACCGTGAGAGACGAATATTTTTGAAACAAGAGATTGGAAGAATGATTCTCTTTTTTACGGATCAGCCTAGCTTATTGGCTCCTAATATTCAGGTGTTTTTTATTTTTCATCTATCCTATCAAAGGGCATGAGTCCCAAAGGGATTGGCTCGGAATGTATTTGATAGAGTGCCACATATGCAGTTATTTTTATGTTTTTAATACTTGGTATTATTAATAGAGTCAGTTGGGGTCAGTTGTTTAACGGGTCAAATATATTATTTTATATATGTTAGTTACTAAGTAGTTAATAATGTGCAAGTGGACCTAAAATCTAGGAGTAGTTGCTAAGTAATGTGGTTGTGAGCCTAAAGTCTAGGAATAGTTACTAGTTAATGTGGTAGTGGGCCTAAATTTTAGGGATTGGTAGTTATTTGGCTTCTATAAATATTGAGGCTGATTATTTGTAAAAGCTATTCAGAAAGTAGTTTAATATTTATTGTTGGATATTCTCCTTGGCTTTTTTATGTATATGAGTTTAAGATTCTTGCTCATATTCTAATAAAGACTTCCCTTCATCTTTATTATTTTATGAATTTAGATTCTGATTTCATAATTTGATAAAGACTTCCCTTCATTAATTCTCCCTGCCAGTCTTGAGTTCTATCAGTATTGCTCAAAAATAATAAATCAGATGAGCTCATGTGGATATAGTGACAATCTCAACCATTTATACTGTTTATTGGTCATGCATTTAAATCTTTAAGGCAACTCATTAGTTTATCTTACTAGCTGCATGCTTAGAGTGACCATTAAAAATATTTCACTACTTTCCTATTTAGTGCTCCCTCCGTTCACCAAAACTCTTCCTATTTCATTTTTACGTGCAAAACCCCATCTTTTTTAAAATGGTTTTATTTACAAATTGGTATAAAAATAAAAAGTAAAACTTACATATTTAAAAACTACATCAAAAGTTCTACAAGATAAGTGGTGACAAGAATTTTTTTTATCAAATGACTAATAAAAAACACACGCAAACAAAAGTTATCGAGCACCCTTGAATTGTAAACATGAAAGGTTTTGGTGAACGGAGGGAGTATATTTCATTGCTATATGTTTTTGTTCAAAGGTATTGCTTCCAATTCAATTTTAATGTGCCGACAGATGGTATTTTCAGCTTTAGCTTTTGCCCAAAGTGAGGTACTTTGGTACTTTCAACATGTAGGAGTAGTTCCATCGAAATCAAAAACTGCTCGAGTGGTTGCAGTAGAAATTGTAAGAAGCTTCTTTGCCTTCAGTCATTGTTCACACTGAATTCAAATATGCTCTCTTCAACACATTTATGATCCCGTATGGTGTTTTTGCTTTGGTTTGAACAGGATCCAAGTGATCCAACCATTGGATTCATATTAGATGGAATGGAGGGCCTTTGTTGTCTAGTGCGGAAGTATATTGCAGGTTAGTGTTGTGGATAAAGCTATATATATTTAATCTTCGAGTTCTCTGCTGTGCATGATCTTTCTCATTCAATTCATTTACATTTGAAATATTGATTAGTCTGTGGATCTTTCTCAAAGGGGGAACACCTAAAATATGGAAGCGTGGGAATGCTTGTATTCGTGATTTGCATGTGGGTATGCTTTAAAATTATTAGGAAAGACTTGAATGACGGGGAATTGGGTAGTCAAGAAAACATTTTTGGAGATTTATATTTTTATCCGTTGGTTCAATTAGGCCATTACAGACTGTGATTCCTCCGTGCTGGACGTGAACCCTTTTATTAGTTTTGTTTGGTAAATAAATAAGGAGCGTGAAATAATAACTTATGTAATACTCCATTCGTCCCAATTTAAGTTGCTTGTTCACTATTCACACGGTCAAACTTTAACATTTTTCTTTACCAATTTTCGTTACTCTTTGAGAAAATAATATAATCATGTCACCTCTTGTTTTGCAGAACTTTTGATGTTGTATTTAAGTATATACCTTTTTTTTTTAATTCCACGCCAATTGTCATATAAACTGAATTGAAAATAATTTTAGTCAAACATTGTAAACAACATGCAACTTAAATTGAGACGGAGAGTAATTTACTCCATAATAGGTTATTTTGTTGCAATAAGTTTTTCGTTTTCCCTTTGTAGGATTCTAGGTTTAGGACTACCTCAGAAGATTCTTAACATCATATTCCATTTGAGCTTGCATTTGGTAGTCGATACTCCAGCCTTTATATAATGAGTAAGACTTGTTTGATTGACAGAAAATATTTTCTAGACGTTTTTTTTACTTTCCTGTATGTTTGTGGGAGGGGGCGGGGACAATTTATTTTCTTATTTTTCAAAGTTTTGTTGATTATAGATTATATTAATCACATAGTTGTCATGGCGCCAAGGCGAGGCGCAGAGCCTGTGTACCGCCTAGACAGCAACACCTAAGAAATTAGGATTGGTATACATTAGTATGACTAAGTCACACTAGTATAAATATAAACGTACATGTTCTTTAATTCCAATCAAAATTTCAAATAAACATACTTAAAAAAATTTACACACCCCAGAATATGTAAAGAAAAAAAGAATATGAAATACGAAATATGATTAAAAACAATATGCTACTTCTTAGTGCAAAGTAAATAATGAGTATGAAAAGAGTCACTGACTAAAAGGCATGAAAGATTTTCAAAAGGCGATGCTTGAATGCCTAGGCAAGGCAAGGCGAGGGATTAAAAAATGGAGAGGCAATACACTAGGCGAGAGGAGCAAAACGCCACGACGCCTAGGCGACGCCGTGACAACTATGATTATGCATAGAACAACTCATTTTCATGCACTCAAAGATAGCCTAAGCCAGCTCGGTTAGCGTGCTTGAGCCGGATGTCTCTTGGAAACAGCTTCTCTACTTCCGAGTAGGGGTAAAGTCTATGTACACACATTCTCCTCAAACCCTACTTTTGTGGGATTTTATTGGGTTGTTTAGTTGTTGTTTATAAACCGGTTAGAGTTAGTTCAGAATCTAAATTTAAACAAAACAAAACTCTCCTTTCCCTTCTCTCAAATAAGAATCTAACCTATAAAAAGGATTAGAAACAAAGAGAATCTCAATATTACTGAATTATTATTTTTAGTGAATATCTACCTCAGCAGTGTCGAGGCTATGATATTTATAACTACTCTGTACATTTTGAGAAAGTCAAATATTGAAATCCTAACAGACTAGGCACCCCAAGTGTTCATAACTCCTAACAACCTGAGAGTCCCTTTATTTAATGAATAGTGTATGATGATTAATTTAAATCAGCAACAAACTCAATTAAATCATAACAGAATTAAATGTGCTGATGTGGCCTTCTGCTATTAGTGATCCAGATCCTATAGTTTTTCCAATCTGTGAAATCCACCTTGTCCTCAAGGTGGAAATCTTAATATTGCTGGTGTTTTAAGTTGTATTCTTCCCACCTAGATTCCTCATCTGTGTTAGACAGGACCAGATCAAAGCAAAATAGATTATTTATTTTTGTGAACTGTTTCAGGATTCTTTGTGTTCTCTAAATATAAATAGAAAACCAACACGACTTTTACTAACCAACACAACTATTATAAACCAACACACCTATTAACAATAGAAACTACCCGTAACTGCCTTTAGAAACTACCCAACTGTTTTTTAAATTAATTAAAATATGTAAAACACACTAACTGACACTATACTAACTGACCCGTTCATTGACTCATTACCCATTTGGTTATATGTGAACAAACCCGATTAGATCTAACAATCACGCCCCTAATCGTTGTTTTTTCACACTGATCTTCAAAGCAATGTTGGTTCATCATCATCTTCAATCAAATTTGCAATGTGTTCCTTTTGATCCCATTTTGGACATTCATTCAGAAAATGCCCTATACTCATTGAACTTGAAACACTTAGTGTGACTCTTTTCCCGCTGAAACCAACCACCATTCTGACCTCCTTTCCTGGACCACCGACCTCTACCTCGGCCACGTCCAAAGTCTTGCTCCTGAACCTTATCTTTTCCATCACCTTTAGTGAATAGTAGTTTACCATGCGTATCTCCTTCCACAGTTGGCTTTTTGATGCGTTCCTCGAATGCTTTGAATCTTCCAACTGCTTCTTGAAACGGCATTGTGTTAATGTCAGCAAACTGTTCAATTGCAGCAATGATCTGGATGAACTTTTCAGGTACATAACCCAAAAGCTTTCGAACCAATCTTTTGTCTTCAAATGCAGACCCAAGGTTGCTTGCTTGTGTTGCAAGTTGACTAATTTTTCCAGCAAAATCATCAAGTGACTCATTGTTCTTCATCTTTAGAGTCTCAAAATCTGATTTGAGTGTCTGTAATTGCACCGCTTTAATCCTGTCAAGTGTCAACACCAACGAAGCGAGTATTCAAAGCATCCCAAATTTCTTTCGCTTTGGCGAACTGAGCAACTTGTATCATGATCTCTTCCGGAAAAGCTTGAAACAGATATGCTTTTTCCATATTGTTCTTCTTTGGGTCAATTTCTGTTCCTAGTTTGATCACCTCCCAAATCCCATTACCATTAAAAGTTGCTTTGATCTTCACGGCCTTGATAGTGTAGTTGGTAGCAGCTAGAGTTGGAACCTTAAAAAACAGTGAACTATTCTCCCTTGGTCGTAAGCCACCTGCAATCGACCATCAACCAAAAGATAAGCCCCTACTTTTCCGTCTTCCAAGCTGCTAAACAAAAGCTACCCCGCTGATTCGTTTTTCCCGCACTGTTTGGTTGGAATGCTTCTGCCAAAGGAAAAAACTAGCCACTTGCTATTCTTGTCCTAGGCAAGGAAGAATGCTGTCGAAGATTCTTGATCTGTTGTCGAGGAAGTCTCTAACACTTTGTTTTATGATCTAGCAGCTCTTCTGCTCCCGATCACACACCTCCTGATCACAAGACATGCCGCTCCCTTTGATCGTTGGGTCTTGATTGGAATGTCGCTCCGATACCAATTGTTAGACAAGACCAGTTCAAAGCAAAGTAGATTATTTGTTGTTGTGAAGTGTTTCAAGATTCCTTGTGTTCTGTAAATATAAATAGAGAACAAACCAACACACCTATTAACATTAGAAACTACCCGTAACTGCCTTTAGAAACTACCCAACTGTGTTTTTAATTAATTAAAACATGTAAAACACACTAACTGACACTATACTAACTGACCCGTACATTGACTCATTACCCATTTGGTTATATGTGAACATACTCGATTAAATCTAACAATCTGGCCTACCCTTCCATTGAATTGACAATTCCAAGCTGAACCCTTCCAGCGGTGGTCAAGGACTGTAGCCGGTTCCAGGAGCAGTTTGAAATCTGAGGAGAGGGGCAAAGTTGTAGGCGGGTTGGGGCCTTGGGGGTAAAGCCTTTAGCTTGTGGCAGAAAAGAAACATGAAAAACTGGGTGGATGCGGGGCATGTCTGTAAGTTTAAGCTCATACGCCACTGGTCCCACCTTCCATGTAAATTGTAATCTTGTATGGCCCAAAATATTTTGGGAGATAGCTTCGAAAACTTTCTTCGTGCAAAGGAATCCTGCCGAAATGGTTGGACAAGAAGGAAAACAGCGTCCCCAACTTCAAAAGTCATCTCCCTGCAGTGCTGGCCAGCATAGCTCTTCATTCGATCTTGGGCTTTTTTGAGATTATCCCGTAATAGTCCCATGATATTGTCCCTGGCCTCTAGATGCTCCTATAGTTCTGCAATTTGAGTTTCATTCCAAGCAAAAGGCTGGGTTACTGACGGGTACCTTCTGTAAACTACCTTGAAGAGAGCCAATTGGGATGAAATTCGGGAAACTGGCAACTCAGAGATGACTGTGATACTGTGTTGGGAATTGAAGAAAGTTGCACTCAGTTTCACCTAAAAGGAGGCTTACAGGTAACCCAAGTATATGTAGACACCGTGGAGCCGTGGATTTTCTTTTAGACTCTCTGAGTGGATTCTAAGGATACTTTGAGTGGATATAGTCATGAAATTAAGGGTACACAATGAAGGTTATGATAAAATACCCTACAACCATTATAGCTAATCAACAAAATACAACACACACACCAACAAATAATAATGTTTTAATCCCTACATACTTGAAGTATTCATCTAGTTAGACTTTTTCGAGTGGAATTGGATGAACTTTAATAATGAATTATATTAAATTTTCATTGCATATCAATATAATAAAATATATTTTTTGAAAGTCTTCCGTAAGATAAATCTAATGAGATAATTTTTGTACTAATATGCAATATAGTTTTTACTTAATTGACGATCAAAGTTTGTACAGTTTGACTTGACTCAAGTCAAACTCGACGCATACTCCAAGACAGGGGTAGTATAAACTTTGCTTAAAAGATATTGTATAAATATACTCCGTATATGTTAATGGTGCTGCATTGATGGTCAATTGGTTATAAGTCTTTTATGATCCACAAAATATCAAACAATCATTTCTTTTCAGCAATTCGAGGCTATGCCTTATCGTACCTGTCATCCTGTGCTGGTAGAATAAGATTTCTGTTAGGGACTCCGGGGATGGTTGCTCTTGACCTTGAAGCAAACCTGAAGGGACTTTTCCAGAAGATTCTTCAACAGCTAGAAAGCCTACCAAAGCCACACAGTGAAAACGTTTCAGCAATCACATGTGATTTATCTGTAAGTACATTGTTAACTGATGTCTCTTCCTATTCCATTGATACTACTGAATCTGTCTTTTTCAGTGTGTAGTTACCATTAAAAAAGGATTAAGTGCGGTTACTATGAATAATTCATGTTATTCATTGTAACAATGTGATACATCTCTGTTTGTCATTTTCAAGATTGAGTTTTCCCTTGTGGTCTTACTCGTTGTACCTTTTTTTTCTTTTTTTCTTTTTCCGCATTCCGCCATGCATTATCTAAGGCTTCTTATTTTGTGCTTTTCTTTTGGAAATACAAATGTCAAGACACCAACTGTTTTCCATTATACTCCTAGATTGGCAGGTGACAGCCTTTTTGGTCATCTGCCTTGTCATTTTTTTTTCATCTTGTTGTCTTGTTATCAATCTCATCAAGGTATTTTAGCTTCTGAAACTAAACTATGTTGATGCCACTCAGGATTTACGCAAAGATTGGCTATCAGTATTGCTGATTGTTACTTCTGCTCGGTCATCTATAAATATCAGACATTTGGAAAAAGCTACTGTTTCTACTGGAAAAGAAGGCTTATTATCTGAAGGAAATGCTGCTTACAACTGGTCTAGGTTGTTTGTTCTTCATGGACATAATATTTTATAAGTTAATGCATTCCAATGTTCCATACATTTCTGATAACAAATGTAATATTTAGGTTTTTTCCCCTGCATTTTCTGGTTGCTTATCGAGAAACCATGTTCAAATAGCTGTAAAACCAACACACACGCAGACAGTTGATTTACATCATTTGTATTGGCGGTGGTGACCTGATGGTTACCTGCTAGATTTAATTGCATTTTCTTTTCTTGGTGTTGGAGAGTATTTGAGCCCCTTTAAATTTGTAGTAGCCAATCACTCTTTTGGTAATACTTGGAGAGCTTATTTGACCTTTTTTTCAATACTGAAGCCCATGTTGGATGGATTTGTGTTAGCAATACTCACACTCCTGTGTTAAGGCAGGTGTGTTGATGAACTTGGAGCTCAGTTATCTAGACATGGTAGCCTGAAGAAGCTATACTTCTATCACCAGCATCTTACTACAGTATGTAATTCATTCTTACTAATACTGTATCCGTATTTTTACTTGATTCTAAACCTGAACACTAATATAGGTCTTCCGTAATACCATGTTTGGACCCGAAGGTCGTCCACAACATTGTTGTGCATGGCTTGGTGTTGCCAGTAGCTTTCCTGAATGTGCTTCTTCCATCATTCACGAGGAGGTATGATTGCTTTCAAGTATACAACTATATGAATTATGAAATATGCAAAAGAATTATGAGTAAAATTTACCCATAAGTTTTTCTGTTCGTAGCTTTTAGCTTTAGTTTTCTAGCTATAAACTTTCAAGATTCAGCTAGTTTTTTAGATCAATGTGCTAAGTAGTCATTAAACAATGTATTCTGTAATTGTTGCTTTATTTTGTGAGATTGTCTACTTCCTAATATTTTTAGACAAAAGAAGTTTCACTGAAAGAGTTCTCTCTTCACAGGTAAATAAAATTGGCCGTGATGCTGTTCTCTATGTTGAGTCCCTTATTGAATCTATCATGGGAGGCTTGGAAGGGCTAATAAATATTCTTGACTCTGAAGGTGGATTTGGTTCTCTCGAGATGCAGGTTGGTCCATCACTCCCTTGTCATGTTCTTTATGTAGAGAAATAGTAAAGTTTTCGAAAATAATTGCCTTAGTTTTAAAAAAATGCAATTTCAGCTTCTACCAGAACAGGCTGCACATCTCATGAATTTGACTTCAAGAATATCTACTCCAATAAAATCACCAAAGGCGGTGTCTGGGTTTCATTTGCCTGGCTACGAGAGCTACCCTGAAAACAATAATTCTATAAAGATGTATGTAATTTTTACACCAAATAAACTCCATGCTTCACATATGTATATTTTATTATTTTATTAAGAATTCTTGTGTTGTTGTTTGTTTACAAATCTGCTTTTAACAGGTTAGAAGCAGCCTTGCAGAGGCTAACAAATCTTTGCTCAGTGTTAAATGATATGGAGCCAATCTGTGTCTTAAACCATGTCTTTGTTCTGAGGGAGGTAAGAGATATCAGTTTTGTACATGAACATAGTTTTAGAACGGAATGTTTTAGTTTTTAGGCAAAACTGTTTGCATTTGCATGAAAGTTTTACCTTTTATTGACGTTTTTTCCTGTTGGACGTTCTGTCATCTAATTCTACTTGTCTTTTTTGTCTTTATAATGTATATCCCCTTTTATTTCTGTTTAAGGAGGAGTTTATTTTTCATTTACCCACAAAAACATTATTGACACAAGTTATTAGAAGAAAAAGAATCAGAAAAGTTCAATATGATATTTTTAGTTAAAAGATAAATAAGTTTTGGAATTATAATTTATGAAAAAGACAAAAGTTCGCCTTGCTTCTCTCTCTAGTGCGCCTCTAGAATGCAAGTGGTCAACCGGTTAGATTCAAAAAGGACCAATTGTCCACTTGAGGGGGAGTGTTAGAGTCTATCCCACATCGGAAGTTGAATAGAAGCGTAATCAGTATATAAGCTCTTGAGTTGAACTAAGTAATCGATTGGATTCAATCTTTTAATGTGGTTTAACACAAGTGTCTTATTACCCAATCCAGTTATCCTAATTACCTCATCCTAAATTCTATCAAACTTCATGAAGTCAAACTATGAACATCTTTACACGACAGAGTGAGATTACATAAGAAATTACTACCTCCGTCTCAGAGTATTTGTCCACTTTCATTTTTACACACCATCCAATACATTTCTTTAATCCATTTTATATTGTAATTTGTATATTAAAAAATTATAGAAATTATATATTAATAATCTATATGTTAAGACAAATCAAACAAGATCACACATGACTATATTTAGGCTTACACATTGAGAGAATTTGACGAGTCAAAGTACTTAGATGAACAGTTCCAAAAGTCAAAAGTGGACGAATATAGCGGGACGGAGGGAGTATTTGCCATCATCGTGCAGGCTCAGTTATTAGAGCAGTGGGTTAGATACTAAGTTTTCACGTGCACTAAAGCTTGGACGAACTTATTTTTGAGCGTATATATTCAGAAAGGCTAATAAGTACTAAGTAGTTATTAAATTGTTTTTAGAAATATCAGATTTGTCTTCTCTTCTTCGCCTTTTCAAGTAGGTTCAAAATGCTCTTTTATCATTACGTGGTAGTTTTTAGTCCAAAAATATTGGGTTATAACAGTTTAAGACATCAAAATGCTCTTTTATCAAAAGTGATAGTTATAACAGTTTCAGTGTCTCAAGTTTTTGTGAGTCATATACTCTTATCTGTTATGAACTAGCATAATATATACCATTATACTTTGCTTAAGACATCCCAAGGGCTTCTTATGTCTTGTTTAGAGAGCGACTGAGCAAGTCCAAATAGTTCGTTGTAGAGTGATTGATGCTAATAAGATGTTAATAATTGTATTGCAGTACATGAGGGAATGTATACTTGTGAACTTTAGAAGGAGACTGCTAGCCATTCTTAAAAGTGATAATGATCTTCAACGCCCTTCTGTATTGGAGTCGCTTATTCGCAGACACACAGCCATAGTCCATCTTGCTGAACAACATGTTAGCATGGACCTAACACATGGTATTCGTGAAATTTTACTGACAGAGACATTCTGTGCCCCAGTTTCATCTCTACAACTGTTTGAGAAAGCTCCAGAAGAGCCATACACAGGATCAGCAACTGAAGCTGTTTGCAATTGGTACATGGAAAATATTGTCAAGGATGTCTCTGGTGCTGGTATCCTCTTTGCGCCACTCCATAGATGTTTCAAGAGTTCAAGGCCTGTTGGGGGATATTTCGCTGAGTCAATAACTAATCTCAGGGAATTAAGAGCTTTTGTTCGTGTTTTTGGTGGTTATGGAGTTGATCAGTTTGGCAGAATGATGAAAGAGCACACAGCAGCGCTACTGAACTGCATTGACACATCACTACGGGCCAACCATGAGATTTTGGAAGCAGTTGCTGGAAGCATGCATTCCGGTGACCGGATCGAACGAGACACAAATATCAAACAGATTGTTGATATGGACACAATGGTTGGGTTCTGTGTACAGGCCGGGGAGGCCATTGCATTTGACTGTCTTTTAGCAGAAGCAGCTGGATCTGTACTGCAAGAAGGTGCTCCTCTAATACACTCTTTACTAACAGGGGTTGCTAAGCATTTGCCTGAGGAAATGCCTGAAAAAATGGAAATACGAAGATTGAGGAGGGTGATAAACAGCATGACTCTAACCGATGATCATGAGTCAGAGTGGATCAAATCAATTCTTGAAGAAGTTGGGGGTGCAAGTGATGGTTCATGGAGCTTGTTGCCATATTTATTTGCCACATTTATGACCTCAAACATTTGGAGTACGTCAACTTTCAATGTTGATACAGGTGGCTTTAACAACAACATACACTGCTTGGCAAGGTTAGATTTATAAAATTTTATTTTCTTCATGTATGCATATATTTGTACAGTCTCTCTCCCAAAAAAGGTCTCACATTTCCTTTCTCATCTGTCCCAAAATAAAGATCTAGTTTCCCCTTAAGAATCGTGTGGTTTGTATTATTTCTCTCTCTCTCTCTCTGTCTCCCGCATAATTTTCAACCAGAGTTTTACTTTCCTTAATCATCATGCCGGGTTAAATATGGATGCGTTCTATGAGACTGAGTAATATTTCTAATATCTAAATACATTCAAAGTACTCCGTATGATTTTTTTGTGATCTATGCGGCCTGGAGGCCAGCTATGGTTCTGTTGTCAACAACATGAAGTTAAACATTTTCCACAAGTATAATGTTGGGCTCTAAGTCACATAGTTCACATACCCCCTTCACGCATTCTGACACCCGATCCCAAAGTTACGGACTCTGTGCTTGGGCGGCACCCTAGGGAACATTTAGTTTTTCTTAAGTCACACTAAGCATTTTTAGGGCGTGATCTGCTCTTTCTTAAGGCGTGATTTAGTATTTGATAATTCTCGCACTTTTATTTATAGTTCTCGACTTAGTGACTTATTTCTGCTACTACAGCCTGTTAGTTCTCCATTAATCCTTCTTTTGTGTCATATTTGAAAGCATCAATATATAAGATTTATTTAAAATATTACTCTCTCTATCCCAGTGTCCTTGTCCCTATTTTATCTTCTTGTTTTGGCTCATGATGGTTTACTGATATTATTTCTAATAACTTTTGTATAAATATTGGTGTAAAAGGATAAAATAAAAACTACTTCCTCCATCCCATAAAATCCTTACACTTTGAATCCACAGGGTTTAAGAAAGTTGTGAAAAGTAAAAGGTGTGTGGTTAGATTCTGTTTAGATGAGAGAGAATTGTCGGAAGCCACATATTCATTACCAAAATAGGGAATAAAGTAAGTATAAGGTATTTTTTGGGACATCCAGAAAATGAAAGTTTAAGGAATTTTATGGGACAGAGGGAGTATATATTTAAAAGCAACTTAAAATTTTTTATTAATCAAGTGATTAGAGAAAATATCTAAGGAAAGAGGATATTCTTTGATCATATGAATATTAAATGAGAAGATAAAAATGGGACGAAGAGAGTAATATGTACTCTATACAATTATGCATAAATCATCCTCCCCCTTTTCATATTTGAATGTCTCAATATCATCTTCTCATTAAGTTTTCTTTTTTTGTTGAAAATTTCAAGCTTGCAAATTAAATTTTTATCATTCAACTAGTCAACTACCACATATATTATTATATCTTATTGGATAGTAATGTTTCTAAAAATTAGCAAATTCTGCTAGAATTTGATGAGGACACCGTTGATGTATTTTCAATTTTTCATTACTTCTCCATTGGATTAAGACTACTTTCTAATTTTTTCTGCATGAGTGATGTCTTGTTTATCATTTCTATGCCCTATTATTATGAAAGACTTCAGGACGACATAAGAATTCAAAAAATAAAAGTTTTGTGGTTGATGTTTATGCACACCAGAAACAAATAATGTTAACAAATACTCTTTTTTTTGTTAAAAGAAAGTGAGATGTACCATTGGGATATGGACAAAAAGAAAGAAAAAAACTTGACAAACACATATCTCTCTACCCACACACACAAGCCCAGTAGAATATTGGGAGGGCGAGGGGGAGTGTACGCAGACCGTACCCCTATTTGTGTGTATGTGATCCTAGATTGGGCTTTCTTTGGCAGGTGCATTTGTGCTGTTATTGCAGGAAGTGAATTCGTCAGGCTTGAAAGAGAGCTTCAGCAGAATCAGTCTTTTTCAAATGGACTTGCTGATGAGGCATTGGACCCTGCTGACATACAGAACCGTTCATCTATCAAGGCAAGCATCAAGTCTACAATGCAACTCTTTGTCAAATTCTCTTCCGGAATCATCCTGGATTGTTGGAATGAACATAACAGGTAAGACTACCTCACACTGTTCCCCAAGTGTCATGCAATGGAATGCGATTTACCTTTTAAAGTCTGAATAAGTACACGAGTTATGCAGTAAATTAGAATGGTAACTTTTCACCTAATCACCTCATTAGTAAGTTGATGAGTTGATCTCAAGGTCACAAGGATTAGTTAGTCTGTGAGACCTAAACCAAAATACTTACGGATTAGTTAACAAACTGTTCTTGTGCTGAAAAAACTTAAACCAAACCAAAGAAACCCGTATATTCCACAAGAGAAAGGTCTGGGACTCTGGGTAGGGCAAGATATACACAAACCTTGGTATATGACTGTTAGTGGTTTGAGGCTCTTTTATCTTTAAGATAGCAGGAAAAGCTAGGAATAAAAAATGGTTGATTCATAAGTGCATGAGGCTGCACTAAATTTTAACAAGCAACAAAACAAGTTGTCTTTATTGTAACTATTAATTTTTTTAGATGCTATATCTAATTTATACAAAGCATAGATACATAATACATTTGCCTTCTAAATGTCTCAAGTATTTTTGTCAATAATATTTAGACCAGGGTTCCATCTAAAAGGTAACTTAACAAGAGTAGTCCAATGTCTTATATGTTAGTTTACATTTTTATATTCAGCCAATATTGAATGACCTAACAAATACTCCCTCTGTCCCAAGTATTTGTCAATTTGACTTTTCCAGTCAACCTAGATTGATCTTTGACTTATAATTAGATAAAAATTAAATGCTATATTAATTATATAAAAAGATATTTTGAAACTATTCTACAAGCTGAATCTAATAAAATTACTCTTGAATCAATATCTATTATGGGACGAAGGTAGTAGTACATTCCCTTATAACACGCGATTTTGAACTTGTGTTTGCAGATGTAGTAGTATTGTAGCAAAGCTAATCTTCTTGGACCAAGTTTGTGAGATCTCTCCGTACCTTCCAAGAAGCACGCTAGAAGCCCACATCCCTTACGCCATTCTTCGCTCCATCTACACCCAGTACTATTCAAACTCCTCTCCTGGCCCACTCCCACTTCTGAACGAATCTCCCCACCGCCATTCCCCTGCTGCTGCTGCGCTGGCTCATTCGTCTCCGAGGCGGAACTCGCCCCGTGAATATTCGCCCCACGCAAGCCTTAATGATTCCGGCCACTTCAGTAAGGCATCATCAACAGTGGGGTTAAGCCACCAGATGGAAATTAGGCATAGGGATTTGAGGCAATCCGGGCCGTTGGATTATGGTGCCAGTCGCAAAGCAAAACTTATGGAGGGATCCACGTCATCGAGCACGAAGGGACCGAGTTCCAAGTCTGGTCCTATATCATACAAGTACAACAGCAAATAAGAGCTCATCCCAGCCTAGCATAGCCTAACCAAGTCATGTTGATGTAAGTTTGCTTCTTTTCTTTTATGAAACTTGACAATCTGACTTACAAAATTTGTATTTGATTTTTATTTTTTTAGTTTGGTGAGTTTAACTTTTGATATGGTATTTGTATTTTGGTCAATGTATGAGAAAAAGTTCCACACGACAGCCCATATTGTACCCACATGGAAATGTTGTTTCTCTATGGTTTTTGGAACCGGCCATGCTGGAAAAAATGGGAACTGGTTGAACCGGAAAAAAATGGGAAACGATGGATTTGGATTATTGGTTGTATTGGTTTTTTAGATAAAACTTTTAGGTAAAAATTCAAACAACGTTTTAGTCTAAATCAGCCGCAACTCACCACATCAAAGTTGATTGCACGATCTCACCCATTTCATACTCGTAATGTCTCACTTCCACTACAATGATTATATTTTTATTTTTATTTATCTATTTCTATTTAAATTAAATTCTATCTTTTGAAACAAAAATTTATATTCTTGTTCTGTTTTTCCTTTTTGGAATTTTTTTGTATTTTATTTTATATATTTTTTAATATTTCTGATTTATAGTATATTTTTACATTTGTTTGATTTCTTATTTCATGATATTTTTTTTATTTTTTCCGTCCATTCTCTTTTTTTTGTTTAATTTTTTTCCCCTTAAAAAAGTTTTTTGGTTAAAAACTCTTTCTTTTTCTTTTTTTATATAGAATAAAAAAGAAAAAAAACAAGCTAGTTGACATCAAAATTATAAATGCAACAACAAATGTGAAATATAACATCAAAACATAAGTTTTGAATAATGTAAATTTTTTTTAATATACTATTAATTTGTGAATAAAATAGTTTTGAAAAAAATGTGATTTTACACATTTGAAATGGGAAGATAAAAATTGGACCAAAGGAGTAAATAAATTCAATTCAGAAGTGTTTGGATGAAAATATAAACGGTAAGTCTAAAATGACACCAGTGTTAAATTTTCAAACCTTTTGAGTAGTAGAAAAAACAGAGGTTCGACAATGGGAAAACCTTCTCTCCATAGAAGAAGAGACAAATGCATGGGTGAAGGGAAAGTATATGAAATTACTTCTTTGCCCTTCAAATAATTAAATTATCTTATCCCCTTGTACAAAAATGTCATTTCACTTCAATACATTGTCTTATTTTCTCTTCATTTTCTAGTCATCCAAATAATATATTATTGTTCATCTTAGTACTACATATTCAGAAGACTAATGCCACATCTAGTTCACCAGTTGGGATCCCTTTCTTAGGGTTTCAGCTACAGTACAAATACCTTTCCAAAAATACAAACATTTTTTTCTTAAAAATACACAAGACCACTCGCATGTGTTGTAATGAGAAAACCCTTGAGGGGCAAAAGGGGGAATCTACCGCAAGTGATGCCTGCATTAAGAAAAAATGTTCACTTCATCATTATATTCTTGAATTGCGATATGTTCTTCACATACACAAAAGCACAAAACAGAACTCGAATCGAAGAAAAAGGAACCTCAATGTCTCCTTTGTTCCGCGCCGAACTTTGCAACGGATTGTGGGAAGCCCGAGCCGTTGGTGAGCTTCGTAGCGGTGACACCCAGAAAAGCCTGAATAAATTTTAATAATCAAAAATTAAAAAAATAAGGCTTGAAACTTACTGTATTTCTTCCCTGAATTAATGTGTTGAATATATAGTATAGACAGAAGTGAATGCATACCATAGTAAACTCCATCAACTTCCAGCACATCAATCTGCATCAAAGTTCAAAATAATGAGTCTATCGATATGATTATCAGCCTTGATGAAATTTCTCTTCTTTTTTTTAAAAAAAATCTCTTCTAATAGAGATAAACAACATGCTATTAGTTGTTTGCGTCAATTGTTTGAGAAAAAATGATTTAGGGAAAATGTGTTTAGCAAAATGAGTCGTTTGTGTAAGCTCCGTAAGTTTTCTCTTTAAAATGTACTCCCTCCGTCCTATAATGATCTTCTCGGTTCGCAAAACGAAGAAAAATCCCAAGTTTTTTCAATCTATTTTATTTAAATATTGGTATAGAAATAAAAAATAAAACATACATATTTAAAAACTACATCAAAAGTTTAATAAAACAAGTGGTGACAAGAATATTTTATTTTATCATATAGGCCATGAAAAAGCACAAATAAATATAAATTCCCGTGAAGTTGGAATAGTGCTCTGGGAAGATCATTATAGGACGGAGGGAGTATAATATATAGAGGAAAAATCATTGAGAAAAAGATTTTGGTAAACCAATTTTTGTGACAAAAAGTTGTCTAAAAAGTTGTTTCCCAATGCATGATTACTTCATTGCCAGTGTTGATGGTGGTTTCACTTAATATTATACCAAACAAGCCAAGTACTCCGTCTGCCCCATTCTTCCATTCTTTAAACTTGCCAAGTTGTCCAATTAAATTCTTTACACTTTCAAACTTAGCAAAGTTATAAAAACTCCATTCTACCCTTTCGTGATCATGTCACATTGTCTCTAATATTCCCACCTTTATTTTACCAACCCTACTTTAAAAACTATGGAGTATACTATTAGGGGCAAATATGGAAAGTAAATAACATTCTTCTATTTGCCTAAAACTTCATGATTCGTTATGTCAAGAACCAATTGGGACGGACGGAGTATATTTCACTCAATAGTGGAGCCTGAAAATGATGCAAGGTCTACATAGAGCTTACATCCACCACAGTGAGTAAAAAGCTTGTTTCCAAGTGGTGGTGTTACTTTAAACTTGGAAAAAGTTAGACACTAGATTTTGAACATTTAAATGCCATATACATCCAATATGACAAGCAAAGAAGAATAAACCTATTTTAACAATCGAGTTTGAAATCAATGACTATATGCTCCCAAACAATGATTTTCTATGCATGTTGGATTTCCGACATTGGAAAACAAAGAGAAATACGGCTAGCATATATAGAAAGGTGAAGCTTTACCCTTCAGCATAAGCTATTGGGTTAGAAAGTGGATTCCGACTTCATATGCAAGTAGTTAATTATATTCGACACTTTGTCTATTGTCCTTGGCTCACTGGAATTTTAACATGGTACGGGAGCAGGTCCGGATTCGATTCTTCATGGTTGTTTGGACGTGGGTTTAGCAATATGAGCTACTCGTCCATGGTTTAGGTTGAGTTGGCTATAAAGGATTGAGAAGCCACCGTCCGTTGTGTGGGCTAGCTATAAGAGATTGAGATGCTAGGCCCATTTGCTCAAGTGCTAACTAGGCAAACTAGTTACCACTTAAGGGGGAGTGTTGGAGGGTAGTGGTAGAGTTCTTACATTGGAAAAAAAGTAAAATACCACCAACATATACAGAAAGGTGAAGCCCTACCCATCAACTTAAACTTTTGAGAAAGAAAGTCGATTCTGACTTTATATGCAAGTTGGTTAATTGAGCAAATGACCCATACATGTAAAAAAAATATGACGCTCCTGGCGGGGTAAGTCACACAAAATTTTTCTTGCAGTGCCATACAGAGTTAGGGTGAGTTCTCTGCCAGTGTAAAAAGGGTGCAGAGCATTCCTTTATATGCTCGTTCAATTCGTGGTTTTGCAAATAAAACCAACCGGAGTAGGCTATTCCGTTTCTGGCCTTATTATTTATTCAAACGGTGTGGCCGAATCCGTTTCTCTACTTTAATTAGAAAACGAATTAAGCTACTCCGTTTCCTTTTTGCTTTAAACCTTTCCAACTTTTTTTATAAAATTTTTTTAGTTTTTAGTTTTTCAATGAAATTGATTAATTTTTGTTACTTATAAATAAATTATAAAAAATAATTTAATTACATACAATGAGACAAAATAAAAGAAACTTACATAAAAAAATATAGATAAAAAAATATACTATAAAAAAATTTAAAAATAAAACTACTATTTATTGACTTTAAGTGAACTTTGTACAACGAAATTCAAAGAAGAAGAAAAATACAAGAAATTATTGATAGAGTACATATAATTTATTTTATAAAAATAAAATTATAAAACACAATCCATGACTAATTTATTTTGTGAATTTTATAATACATAAACTCAGACATAACTGAAATCCATGACATAGTTATTCCTCGTTGCAACGTCTCCATGATCAATAGTCCATGTTATTCGGATAGTGGGTTCTTGTAGGTCGGTCGGTTCGTGTCCTCTGTCACGACGTTGGTCTCACTATCTCAGTATCTCGTATTCTGGGGTAGGCCATTCAGCCTCATCTGGAAGCGGCATTATGATGCTAGAGTAAGTGTTGATGTAGGACTGAATTGAAATATCATTCAGAATCAAATGATCCACGGTGACACTACAGTAATGACATACTGCGTGGACATGACTGCACGGGATATGAAATGTTACCCATTGACCATAGCTACATGTTCGTGCATTTAAGTTCACCGTAAATGTCTCCCGCTGAGCAATGTTGGACGACCCATCCACCACCAGTATATCCCTTGTTGTGAGTGGTGCTGCACAACACGACAGTAAAGCCTATTTTCTTCATTTTTTCTAATATGTTTCCACACATTCATATGAAAACTGTACCCGGATTGCTGCCATACATATCCATTTGTTCGCCTCTCAGCAAAAAGTTTGATCAGTGGTGAACTTCATAATGGCATAGACGGGCAAACAACATTATTGAAGCTTTATGACGAATTTGTGGTCATTATACCAAACCGTGCGCCACTTTCATCATGTGACAATGCCCACATGTGTTTTGGAATAACATTAAGCCAGTTGTAAGCTTCTTGATTTTTGGACGCTATTTGGAGAAGCAACTGGTCAAACTCACTTCTATTCGGGGCCTCACCAGCTTTGTACATCAAGGTCCACAGCTTCTTACTCCCTCCGTCCACAAATAAACTTTACGTTCACTATTCACAGGGTCAAACTTTATTCACTTTGTTGGCCTATTTTTGTCACCCATTTGATAAAATAATATAGTTATGTTACCTCTAATTTTGTAGATCTTTTGATATAGTTTTTTAATATGTAATTTTTATTTTTCAATTCTACACCATTTTTCATATAAAAT